TAGATATTGAAAATAAGGGATTGTATCACAAGTGATAAATTCACCCCCCAAAAAAGGTTAAATAAGCCTAATAGTGTTAAGTTTATGGTAAAAAAATAGAAAATTGAATATTCAATACAAACAATGGGGAAAACAATACCAAAATCCTGTCTCCAAGCGCATGTGGGAAGAACAATAGAAAAGTGACTCTTCCTATAAAGAAGTCGGCAAAAACAATAGTTTCCTTACTGATTAAGAGTTATTTCTAAACCACAGTCATATTATCTGTTACATATGTTAAACTATGTTATTTGAAATATACATACAAATACATAAAATGTTTTATTTTCGTTATTTAATGAGATAATAACACACTGAAATAAAAAAAAAACATGTTACTTTTTGCTGCATACTGATATAACAAAATGGAAAATTCAGGAACAATGTACATATTAAATCTAAAGCTATTTCCAGTCACCAATTTTCGTATGTTCCATACAGATCTTCGCATGATACATGTACTATTGCCCCCCAAAAAACTTTTTCTACAACTAAGTTATCGAGCAAGCCGTATTGCTCACACGAACTTTCAATATAAATAGATCATGTCTTTTCAGGCTAAAAATTAAAGAAAATAGTTTAATAAAGTATATTATCCGTTGAAAGATTTTTACTATTTTTTTTACAATTTTAAAAACAAATCGTCTCGATTGTTGTACATGCTTGTGTGGACCGTTTAAATTTACCTAGTAAATTAATTTAAAAAGTTTTAAACTTTGCAGCATATAGATCGAATATTTTGGTATTTTTTATGAACTTCTCTGATCAAGCAGTTTACATGTACAGATTTGCACTTGCAAAACCTGTCCAAAATAACATTTTTAAATCTCGTAGTTCATTTTTAATTGTATCTTAATCATTATAGTATACGAGATCTTACAATTCATTTATCAATTTTTACTCACATATTTACATAGTTGCCCATAAGGTCTGATAAAAAAAGTATGACGAAAGTATGACGAAGGCCAATAACTGGACACAGAGTACACTGCGGGGCAAGGCGTTTCCGCTTTTAGATAGGACATTTGCGTTTTCTTAAATGGACATTTGCACTTCAACTTAGAGGAAAATTAAGTTTCTAAATAATAGACAATCAGTTTGCTTAATTTTCGAATAGGGCGAAATAATGTCTACTATTCCCCATAGTCGGTGCATTTTAACATTAAACGATTTCAACTTTAATCCACCAGATACTCGTTTCGACATAATTGTGTATCTTCAGTGATTAAAAGTTGATATAATCGTTAAGGAACGAAATTAAGAACAGCCAAACACTGACAAGTGATCAGTGCTATAGCTATATACATTCTAAATAAAGAGTCAAATTGTAGATAAAGCATAACAAAAAAAATGTAATGTGGGAAATAGCGGTCACAGTTCACTGAGAATGACGAGATCAGACAAGATTATGGGGTATCCCATAAGTTCACAAGGCCACATTTAAAAAATGCCTCAGGTGACCATGCAGGTCTCTTTTAAGCAAAGTCAACAATAAACCGATGTTGATGGTCAAAGGTCCTTTTAAATGATACGTCAGATCGTAAGGTCACCTGCCGAACCCTCTAGCTGGTTCGCAGTTCGGATTTGACCATGTTAGAGCCATACTAATAGTAGAATGCCGTAACTGATTTTATTGACAATTCCGTGCACCATTGGCGACAATAGATGTTCAAAATCCTCAGCGTTAATCCTAGAGAGAACGAGTGGCAACGCCACGATTTCCAAATAAGTCGACTAGTTTTCGCATCACCCTATGTTTGAGTTGTTCAAGGGAGTGGAGATTAACAATTTCTAGAACATAAAGCAGTTAAGCTGGTACCAACTAAGAACCGGTCACTTATGGTTGACATGAGACGGCATCAACATAACCTCCTGCGATAACAGCGGATGACGATAACATCATTACTTCACCCCCACAAATACTACTGATGGATAAAGCTATTGTTTTAATTCACTTTTGGTCAAATAAATTTTTTTGGTCTCTTCACATATTTCCGTACTTATTTTTTTCAATTTCAACGTTTACTTTGCATTATATAATTAGAATTATAAAAAGGCGAGATATATCTATGTGTCAACACTGAGTTAGGTAAAGTTGACCTTAGATGGACCTGGGACATAATATATTGACAATAGTCCCAGAATGGATTTGGTTATTAGTTTAAAGGGTCATTAGCTACGAGAAATTAAAAAAAATAATTAGATTTTTGTTTGGTTCAAACATTTATGAAGTCAAACAGTGAAATAGTAATTTGCTTTTAGCAGTCATTTTGGTTCAATTTTGTCAAAATATGCCTAGAAACATCGCTGATGAATTATTCACTTGCAAGTGAATAATTCGATCTCATTCAATCCGTAATCATGTTACCTTCAATTTAGCCCCTTAGATAGAAATGGGTTACGCATGATCTAGGCGTGTTCAACTATTAAAAGGAAAAGAATGTCAGCATTGAAAGTGAAAAAACGGTAAACCATTTGGTTGACTGATTCGATCCACAAAAGCTCATTCTTATACAGGTAAAAACGATGATTAACATATTTTTTAACCTATAACATGAAATCAAACCGACCTAGAAAAATCCAATTGCACGTGTTCAGTATCTGTTTATATCTTTATTTATGTTTATATCGGGTTATATGACCGTCGGCAGTCCTCGGAGGTCACCTCGATGGTTAATTAGATATGGCGTCTAGACTAAAATACACACGAAATGCTGATACATACACCGAGTACATGCATCGTAAATTGTTTATTTTATGCTTTTATATTTTGGATATACGTTTTAGTATGTTATAAATCAAATATCAGAATTTGAGTCAAATCGGTGAACATGAATTTGACAGCTAATTCCAATTTAAAGTTCTTTTGGTCATTTAGCTCTTCAACCGTTTCGATTCTTTTACATCTTTGGTTTCAAATATTCTGCTTTGATCATTACTTGTGAAGGTAAATCCAGCAGTGAAAAGCGCTTCGGACGCATGAAATTAACAAAGTTTTTATTGTTTTCTTAGTTAATTAGTTTGCTGTGTTTTGTTCTTAAAAAACTTTTTTGGGTTATTAGTGATAATTTGGATGAATCTTACAGTGAACAATACGGTGAGATGTACAACAACTATGTTTACATCTTGAACAGAATATTGAAGTATAAATACACAACATGTTTTTGGCATTTAATCATCGTGTACCAATTGATAAGGCGTTTTATACTTTGATGTTCTAGGTATAGAAGATGGAAACCGGTGTTATTGCAAAGGTGATGACTTATTTAATTAGATGTGTTTTATCGGTGCTTCCCCTCACAGGCACTTGGGCAGTTGGGGGACTTGTTTCTATCCATTGGCCGATTGGGAGGTCGACTATCCATATATTATAGAAGCTATTATATATATGCATATTCGTTCTCCCAGGAACATATATATTGACTATATATATAGATATACTGTTTCCAGGTTCTCCAAAGGCATAGAAACAAGTACCTGTGCTTCCCCTGTCTCAGTGTCTGCCTGAACTAACATATGTACAATAGTAAATATTAGTCAAAATAATTATGAGGTCTTGAAACGGAGTGTTCTTTTACCACAGAACACCACAGAAAGGCATCACAGCAAAAAATTAAAATAGCCTTTCAAGACCTCATAATTATTTGGACTATAGTACATATATAACCGCCCATACATCAGATCTTCCAACTGCTGCTTTTTCCTGGAAAAATTTGAGGTCATATGATATTGATGCAAATATCTTTACATCACAATGTCCTATGACATGTTATTCCCCAAATAATCCCAGGTCAACTGGGGCAGTTCATTCATAAAATCGAAATTAGAATATTGGGCATAAGCTGCATTAGTACTCATGTAAGTAGACACATATACAAGAATCTGGGACAACTCAGCAGGGGTAATGTTATCCGTGACCAGCAAGAAATTACTATAGATTTTGACATTATTTTATATCGTCCATTTTAAAAAATGGTTATCCTGTGATCCTGTCCCATAATAAAATAATTGCTATGATAAAAGTCAGAAATTTTGTGAAGTATTTGATTCAGGGAAAGTGAAAATTTGTACATGAAAAAGTTGGAAAAGGATTTGTTAAGTAAGAACTATTCGAATCCCTGAAAAAGTTGTGAAAATTTGTACACAAAAAAGTTGTAAAAATTTGCACATGATGGATTTGTTTAGTAAGAACTATACAAATCCTTGAAAAAGTTGTGAAAATTTGCACCTGAAAAAAATTGTGAAAATATGTGCGTGAAAAAGAGGAACATAATAAGGTCATTCAGGGGAAAAAATCCTGTCATATTGAAAGTATTTGCTTTGTGACATAAATTATTTTTGGGGGAAATCCTCTAATTAAAAGAGGGGTCCTAGGTGGACGAGTGGTCTAAGTATTCAAACTACTGTATCACTAGCCAGTCAACACTGAGGTTGTGAATTTGAATCCCGCACAGGGCAGGTGCACTCGACTCCAATCTTAATTGACTAGGATTATCAGTTTTCCTACCTAAGGTTGTGGTTCTCTCCGGGCACTCAGGCTTCCTCCACCAATAAAAACTGACTGCCATGAAATAGCACAATAGTGTTGAAAGTGGCATTAAACACCAATCAATCTAATTAAAAGATCATGAATTTTGCATGAATAATAATAATCCCATTTGGGATCCTGTGTCTGAATCGATTTTCTGATTTGGCTGCCCACTGAATATCTTATCAAAGCCACAAAAAAACTGATAACTCGTTTGAATTTTTAAGACTGTTTTTTCATGGCTTTCATGTCTATCGTAAGGGTTCAGTGAGTAGCTAAATCAGAAAAATGCTCCAAATACAGAATCACAAAAGGGATTAGACAAATCATGCTCTGCTGTTACAGTGTAAATAAGTTACTGTAAACAGGGAAATTTTCGTGGCAGTTTTATTTTCACTATTTTCGCGGTAAGAATTGAAACGCGAAAATAAAACGACCGCAAAATTTCAAGGAAACTCTATTCATAAGATAAAGACCATACATGTGCGTATATGAAAAGGATATGCATGTAGAGGACCACTGTATAACACCGATTTTACAGACGACAGATCTATACCTAAAATCATAACTGTATTTTTAAATGAAAAGCAATGTTAGAAATCATGACTTTACTCAAGTTAATCTTATTGAAATGGAAGACATCTCAAGCAAGCAGACATTACGAACATTACGGATATTGTTATGTAAGCAACACTTATATGTAAATGACACCTGTCAATCAGTTTTAAAAGTAATACCTTGTTGAATCTTCTACAAAGATTAATCAGATCAAAAGATCGATTAATTAGCATTAATCCTGACAGCATTTTATTTTAATTCACTCTTAATTAGATCTGCTTTTCTGTTATTGTGTATGTGTTTTTACAAGCAAACATGACACAACTTTTAATCTCCTTTAACATTAATGAACCGAAAACAAAATATTTCTGATTGATTTTATCACTTGATTTACGATACATGTAAAGCTGTTCACTTTCTTATTCATTTATGAAAATATGTATATAGGTCACAGGGAAATCGCGAATTCAAAACGGCGCGAATTAAGATTGTGTTAATAAATCGCGAAATAAAGACGGCGCGAAAATTTCCCGGTTTACAGTATACATATAAAACGTAATTGGAATAATCAAAATTATTGAACAACACAAAAGACCACATCAACCACCAACACCCAACCATGAAGAAAAAACAAACGCCCAAGCAAAGACAAATTTAAACAATAAACAACACATACATGTAGCTAGATAGCATGACCAGGCACAAAATTATAACATAACACTACCAAGTATGTCAGTAACTTCTTTGGGGCAACTTAAAGACAGTCAAGCAAGCATGTTACAGTTAATAAAAAAGACTGTTCATAAGACATAAATTTGCATTGCTAAAATGAATACAAGTCAAAAAGGTGTCCTTACTTTGATACAATTTGAGCTGCCTTGAGCTACCATATATATATATTAAAAGTAGCCTATCTAAACATTACAATTATTGGAACTGATCCTAAAATTGTTGTCATTTTTGTTATTAGATTGATAGATTATTAAAAAAATTTCTTTAATATTTCACCGGTATAAACAGAAGATAAATGTCCTAACAGTGTGTCAACATTCATATATACATGTATATGGAAAAGGTCAACAGGTCAGTAATTCTCCCCAAAAAAAGATCTTGAAGCTAGTTACTATTTTTTACACAATGAAATAAGTACAAGAATCAGAATCATGCAAAATAAAAAAAAAAAAAAGCTAATAGTCTCATCACTAGTACACCATAAAAGAAAAAAAGAAGAGATATGATACTTTTTCTAGAGGAAAAAAAAAGTGTATGCAAAAACTCAGCGAAAAATTGTTAAACTTAAGAAAATGATGTAGCACACTAAATTGAAACCTCCAGTCCATAGAGATTTTCAAAAGTTTGACCGGTATGCATATATAACAGTGTAATAACAAGAATCAAGAAATAGTAGATTGATTGATTGATTGGTTGTTGGTGTTCAGTGCTACTTTCAGCACTGTAGGCTATATCATGGGGGTCCATTTTTATTGGTGGAGGAAGCCTGAGTGCCAGAAGATAACCACCAACCTTTGGCAGGAAAACTGACAATCCTAGTCAGTTAAGATTAGAGTCAAATGCACCTGTCATATGTGGGGTTTGAACTCACAACCCAAGTGTTGACAGGCTAGTGGTACAGTAGATTATCTACTTAGACAACTTGGCCACCAAGACCCCAAAAGATATAGTAGACCTTAAAACAATGTACATACACTTTATTTGGCAGAATGTCCACCACTACACTGCTGGATATCACAGACGTTCCTGTGAAATTTAAATGTCGCCAGACATTTGCCAAAGAAAATGTCAGACACCTCAGAACAAAAGTGATTATTGTTCATGTGACATAAGTAAGGTTAAGTGTCATAAAATCTTTGATAAAAAGATGTTAACAAACTCAAATAGAAATGTCTGCAGAAATGTCAAAAAATCGTGAATAAAAAGATGTAAACAAACCCAAATAGCAATGTCTGCAGAAATGTCAAAAAATCTTGAATAAAAAGATGTAAACAAACCCAAATAGCAATGTCTGCAGAAATGTCAAAAAATCTTGAATAAAAAGTAGTAAACAAACCCAAATAGCAATGTCTGCAGAAATGTCAAAAAATCTTGAATGGCTGGATCACAACATCGAGGATGCTTTGATTTATTCAAGCAGTACATGAAACAATATATCTTGTTTTTAACATTTTCACAAAATGTAAGTAATGCATGTGTACATAAAATCATCAGTTGGTCAGTCTAGAGGATTCTTATGGGGGATTTCTAGAATTATAATTCTATACAATAAAAATATGGTGTTTTACGCAAAGTAGAATTTTCTTATTTTTTTATTTTGAAAATAAAATATTTAATTTGTGTTTTCCTTTAAAAAGAATTTGTATTTACACATTCTCCTCAAGAAAATTTTATATAACCATCAGCATTAACATATCAGCAACATTAATTTTTGTACAATTATATTTGTTTCATATCTGTACATTTATATCTATTAATCCACATCACTTTGAAACGGCCCCACCCATTTCCCTCCCCCCTGTGTATGTGTATATATGCTGTTGGTATCTAGACCAGTCTCAGATCAGATGCATGTCAATGTATAACTCTGATCGGAATCCAGTCAGGAAACCTGTGAATCCAGATGGTTACTAGTGTAAAACAAAGACATGTTTGGGAAAAGAACCACAGTTTAATGCTTAAATTTCATATTAATAAAACACAAACAACAGTACAGTTTGAAAACAATACACAAATTAATTAATTAATAATCTGTGGTATTCCACTCAAGGGAATATTACATTTATAATATGAAACCAAAACTGTGTGTTCTTGCAATATAATCTACTCTACACATTTATAAAATATACAGTTAAATTAAATCAATTATATATCTATAATTAGTTGATGAAGCAACCTAAATATCTCAATAAAAATTAAAAATAAAATAGGGTGGGTGAGGATGGGATTTTAAATTCCCTAATGCCAAATTGCAATGCGTCTGCTTCATGCAGTTGTATTATCTAGAATGCCTAAATGAGGCGCGCAGTAATTAAAACAAAAGGATGATAATTCATTATCTCTGCCGATTGGATAATTTGAAATAAGGGCCTTGTTCTGATTGGTTCCCTTCCCACATCTCACAAAGCAATTAGAGAGCAAGATGTCAAGAGTGGCCAGTAGGGAATTCGATCCTTATATCATTGGTTGTTATTAATAGATATAAGTTGAACTAAAAAACCCAATCGGCAAAAAAGGACAGGTAATGCATGTGCGATGATACATGTCAACATGCTGTGTATTAATAATCCATTTTTCTTGTTAATAAAAATATCACATTAATCCACATCACTTTGAAACGGCCCCACCCATTTCCCTCCCCCCTGTGTATGTGTATAGTGTGTATATATGCTGTTGGAATCTAGACCAGTCTCAGATCAGATGCATGTCAATGTCTAACTCTGATCGGAATCCAGTCAGGAAACCTGTGAATCCAGATGGTTACTAGTGTAAAACAAAGACATGTTTGGGAAAAGAACCACAGTTTAATGCTTAAATTTCATATTAATAAAACACAAACAACAGTACAGTTTGAAAACAATACACAAATTAATTAATTAATAATCTGTGGTATTCCAAACTTCCCAAACGTGTGGTGTAATCAGTAGAAGGTAGGTTAAATGGTTTATTATTTCCCATGGGCAATTGCAAATTTGTTCATGACTTCCTGTCTGTGTGCAAAAGAAGGATCCAAGTATGATTTGTATGCATTAGATTTCCAATCACCCTGTGATTGTATGAGATCAGCTGGAACCCCACATTCTAAGGCAAAGGAGGCCCCTCCTCTGCGAAAACTATGTCCCGAATATTTGCTGCTGTCATAACCCAACCTAGATAAGTTCTGTTTTAGCATCTTTACAAAGGCTGTATATGTAAGAGGGGTAACCTTGCCTCGTACTAAATACAGGAAGACAGGTGAGGGGGCTGACACTGCTGGCACCTGTTTAAAATTTAAAAGAAGCGCCTTAGAGGGACATAAATGAGAATTCTTCACTCTAGGAAGGGGAATTTCTAATATACGCTCTGAAAATTGAATTGTTTTGGTTTTGCGTACTTTTAAACAGACACCATCTGAGTGAAAATGGATTTCCTCACGAGTAAAATGTCGCAAAGGATCAAAAGCTGAAATTGAAGGGGCAAACAAATTTGACTTCCTTAAAAAGGAGAAAAAAGCCACTAAGCAGGCTGCCCAAAAACACAAGTCCTTACTGATTGGTTCCCTTCCCACATCTCACAAAGCAATTAGAGAGCGAGATGTCAAGAGTGGCCAGTAGGGAATTCCTTATACCATTGGTTGTTATTAATAGATATAAGCTGAACTAAAAAACCCAATCGGCAAAAAAGGACAGGTAATGCATGTGCGATGATACATGTCAACATGCTGTGTATTAATAATCCATTTTTGCTTGTTAATAAAAGCATCACAATTCCCTCTATAGCACGAAATTATTTTTTTGTTTTTTCTCCTGGCAGCTCCAATATAGAAATGTATTTTTGTTTGGATTTCATTGTCTTCTTTTTTTCTATAAACCCCTAATTCAACCTCTTTTCTATGACTGTTTTTATAGCTGGTCAGTGGTCATAAAGTACTGCCCACATGTTCTTATTTGTATCAGTCAGACAGGTGCATTTGTTTATAAAACTTATTATCATCAAAACTCATTAACAGTGCAAGATATGAACACATTTATTTTTCTTCTGTGGTTTTGTAATATTATGAAGTACAAAATGTAAAAAAAACAGCTGAAAATTTTGATAAAATTTAGTTGCTTTTGTATTGTGCTACCTTAAAAATCTATGTTTATCAAAAATAAATACTGTAAATTCAGAAATTATTGCGAAGTTTTTATTATTGCGAAAAATGCGACAGGATTATAATCGCAATAATTTAAACTCGCATTTTGAAATTTTTATATGAATTGAACAGGATTTTTCTCAATATCCCAAAAATTAAAATCGCATTTTAGTCTAAAATGACAAAGTCTCAATAATAAATGCAGGCACTAATTTCTGAATTTACAGTACTCACATGCCTCTTTTAAATCTGGAATGCAATTTTTTCAATTGAAAAATAAAATGTTTGGTCAAAATAAGTCCGTCAATTGATAATTTTCTTCAAACAGCGTAGGTACAAAAATGTATATCATGGCTTAACTATGTCATATAACATTTTCCACGTTCCAACTTTTAAATATTAATGTGGTAAGGAATTCCAGAACTTCTACTAATATGAATACTAAAACAAATGCCTATAATTTTTATGTTCCAAGTGTCAAAGGTGTGGAATCTTTTACTTTATGTTTTATTGGAATATAAAACTAGAATGCTCTGCCAGAGCATGTAAAATGTATTAATGTGAAATAAAAAAAGTTCCAAACAAAAACAAACCTAATGAATAATCTGAGCCTAGGCCAATGTAAGATGCAGATTTTATTTTTATATTTTTTTAGATTACTTTTTTATATGTATATGTTAAGCAGAGATTCATACACACTATTTATTGCTATATAATTGAATGATAAATAATTTATTTTGTTATATACATGCATAATATAAGGACCCCATTGAGAGGGTTGACAAAAACCTGGGTTTTATAAGTATTACCCAGAACAATCAGTTGTGATACCAAGACCTTGTTGAACATGTTGATAAATATTCCATTTCAACTTCACAAATAATACATGATCGTCTCGAAGTATAAATTCTAGGTACTGACGTTGTTTATCATCTTAATTATGTGTTATAGTGTTCTTTTATTTGTCATTGTAAATTATTACCTTTACTGTTTAGTCCATTTTTGGTAATATCCCTTAGGCGTGGCTCAGTACTTATACATCCAGTCATTGTGTTATTGTGCTATGGTCAATTTTTGTATTCTTGTCTTTCATGTTTGTTTATGTGCTTTGTCTATATGCCGTTTTGTTCTTCTTTGTTGACCTATTTGTTTGTTTTTATAGGTTGCATTTTTGTAAATATCGACAATGCAATTTCCCATTAGAACTCCTTTTACGGCTAAAACTGTACCACTTTTACTATGAAGTATTGAAAAAAAATTATATCCTAGAATGGAAAGTTCATATGCACTACTATTTTTTTCAAAGGTCAAAATATAGGGCTGTGCGGCATATTTTCAACGTTTATATGCCCCTAACTTCTAAGAGTTTAAACTTACACTAAAATTCTTTACTACCCCTACCTTGACTTTATGGTTTTCACAGATTTAAATTTGACCGATATGCATATGTATATTTACTGGTAACATTTCCAAGTTATATCTCTATGAAGTGAAACATAGAGATCATATCTGGGAACCAGTACGTAAATATAGATTCTACCACTGCATCGAGTGTGATACGATATTTATCCACTCGAGACAGTTAAATTTTCAAATTTAAAACGCGAGGCTCGCCGAGCGTTTTAAATATTTAAAATTTAAATGTCGAGAGTGGATAAATATCGTATTACACGAGATTTGGTGGTGGAATCTGTTTCTCTAATGATTTTCAAACAATACACAGGCAAATTTATTCCTTCATTTAGAATGATCTGCAAAAAGATGTGTTCTTTCCATGTGACGTCATCAGGCATGGTCGCCTTTTTTCATGCCGTCACAATAGGAAATTCAGAGGAAAGCAAGAAAATTCGACGTCATAATCGGATTTTAACCAATGAAGAACTGAGATCAAACGAACCACACGTTGATTAAATTTTTTTTATACAATGGGTGCAGAAAGGGATAAATTGACGAAGAATTAGAGAAACAGAATTAATTATCTATGAATATTATATATCTCCCCAAAAGAGGGAGTGGTTTGAGAAACAGCTGTATTTACAAAGTGCAACCTATGATTAGTGATTAAGATTATAACACAATGGTGACTGCTGTACCCCTATTTTTGACATTTTTACCTCTTATTTCTGTTTGTTTTTTTCACACATTGTTGTCAATATAATGGCATTTTAAGCAACTGTTATACAAGTGAGAGGTTTTCTACACAAGGAAATGCCTGTCTCCAGTCACAAATATGACAGTTGTTTTCCATTCGTTTGATGTGTTTGAGCTTTTGATTTTGCCATTTGATAAGGGACTTTCCGTTTTGTATTTTCCTTGGAGTTTGGTATTTTTGTTTTTTTATTTTTTTGTTTAACTAAATAATACTAGGAATTACTGGGTAATATATATAAAATACTGGTCTGGTATATTTCAATAATAATCTTTTTAATGTCTACAAGTGTGGGTACATGTTCTCTTGTGATGTTTATTTAGTAATATGATTGTGTACCAATTAAATTTTACAATTCACTTATAAACACTGCACTAAATTTCATTTTTCAAACTTGGAATATTTCAAACAGACAAAAGACAGAGCATACACAGCTTCATGGGAAATAAATAAGATACCCAAAACTATGCAAAACATACAAATAGAATTTCTGCCTTTATATTTATTATTTATATAACATGTATATTAATACTAATGATACTACACAATATCTTAACTATTCTGTGTGCAAATAAGCTTAAAATATTATATAACCCAGTAATGCCCAGTACTGCCAATTTTTCTGGGAGTATTGCTGAGGCTAGTAAAATCCTGGTTCTCCCAACCAGATTTTGCCCATCCAGGTAATACTTTGCCAACCCTGCCCATTGGAAATAAGGTTTTTGTTTTCATAAGTAATCCTTGGGTAGAAGCATTAAATATACCTATAATCACATCCGTTACTATATCTTAAGGTTTTATTTAGTAGCTATGTTGTATATTGCCTTTACCTGAATAAACTTTATTATTATTAGACAGCATCCTGAATCGGACAATTGTAGTTGTTTATAAACATTGTTTTTGTTTAATTGTAGAATCAACATGTACAGACTAAGTGGACTTTGATGTAATATTATGAGCTATCGCCTGTCACAGAACTATGCCTGGGACACAACACTTCCTTTGGGCCAAGGGGCTACCAGTAAAGTATTTAAAGGATTCAGCAGGGTAGGCATTACTATTGAGTATACATTTATATACATATAAATGAAGATTTGCTTACTTTATAAGGAATCACCACTCTTAAATTTCTCTGCACAGTCCTCAATTTTTATACGACCGCAAAAAATGTTTGTGGTCGTATATTGGTATCACGTCATCGTCATCGTCCGAAGACACTTGGTTTCCGGACAATAACTTTAGTATTAGTAAATAGAAATCTATGAAATGAAATGAAAGCAAATAATAATGATATGGTTTGAATAGGTAAATTAAAAATTTTTAAGTTCTTAGATCACATTCATTCTGTGTCAGAAACCTGTGCTGTGTCAAATATTTAATCACAATCCAAGTTCAGTGCTGTATCAAGCTTGAATGTTGTGTCCATACTTGCCCCAACTGTTCATGGTTCGACCTCTGCGGTCATATCAAGCTGCGCCCAGCGGAGCAGTTTTTGTTTATTATCTTGAATATTATTATAGATAAAGATAAACTGTAAACAGCAAAAATGTTCAGCAAAGTAAGATCTACCAATAAGTTTTTATATTACCAAAATTGTCAATTGACCCCTTAAGGAGTTATTGTCCTTTAAAGACAATTTTTCACAATTTGTTTATCTAGTCTGCTAACTTTAAAAAATCTCCTTTGAAACTGCTGAATCAATTTCAGCCAAACTTGGGCTGAATGAGTTTCAGAGTATCTAGTATAAATTGTGTATTTTATTTCCTTGTATGTCAAGAAACATAGCCACTATTGCTAAAATGGAACATAGGGGTAAAATGCATTTTTATGTTTTTGAAGAAAACATGACAGATACAATGAACATTTAAATGGCATTTTTAAGCCACTCATTAATATATATTGAAAAGCAAAAATAATCATTGATGAAAGATTTAAGCAAAACATTACAGGTGAGCGATTCAGGCTCTTGAGAGCCTCTTGTTTATATTCACTATTGGATTATGTATTTTAAACATGCACTTTCATTTATATTAAATTCACTGTAGTAAATTTAGAAATGGGTTTGTATTTTCAGATGAATGGTGAAGATGTAGCTGTAAAAGTGTTTACTCATGCAGGACAGATGAGGCCTTTTGATGTTCAAATTAGAGAATACAAAGTGATGGACATGTTAAATCATGAAAACATTGTCAGACTATTAGCTATTGAAGAGGAGGTATTAACATTATCACTTATGCAGCCTCTGGGTTTTTTTTGCAGTATTTTAATACAGTATTAAAGGATTTTTTATTTATATTTATGTAATGAAAGTGAAAATGTGTAACTTATAAAAACTTTGATGTTGATGGCAAGCATTTTGTTGTCTCTGTTTTACTAATTGACAATTTGTCTAGACTCTGGGCAATTTAGACCAAGTTGCTATTGACTGTTGCAATTTAGACCAAGTTGAATGTTGACCTCAAGATATCTTTTATGTTTTTTCTTGTGTTCATGAGTTATTGTATCATTGAATTTTTATTTTCATTTTTCTATATTAAAGAAAATATCACTGTTCCTGTTTATATTTCCAGCAAAACACTCACGACAGAGCTATTGTAATGGAGCTATCAAACTGTGGAAGTCTGTACACATTACTAGATGACAGCTCTAATGCATTTGGTTTAGATGAAGATGAGTTTCTACTAGTACTTTCACATGTCAGTAAGTGATAGGTGTTTTAAATGGAGGGTGAGAAATATGAAGTAATAGATTAGATGTGAAGATATGTTAGTTTTCATCATACATTTCTGATCAGTTTTCAAGAATTCAAAATTATTCCTGATTCAAATTATTCCTTGTTTTAAGTTTATTTTAAAAAAAGGATGTGTAAATTTTAATCATTATTTTTTAAAGCAATGGTATTTATTCAAATTTCACTGTGACTTAAAAGGTAATGACAAAACATGAAATCAAAGCCTGATATCTTGTAATACTGTAAAAACATTGAACTGAGATCTCTGATTCATTTAATAAGAATAGATATCCACTTGTAAGTGTAAAGAATTTTTTATTGTTGATTTCAATAGTAATGAAAATGGGAAAATAGACCAAATGTCATTTTAATGTATATAGACAAAACAACTCATATACATGAAAAGGTTAGCACCTCAAATTTTAAAGATTGAAATCTCCGGTAAATTTGATCATCTCGTGCTTTCAGATGTTTTATTCTGTAATTATGTCAGAATGTTATGTACGTCCACATCATTTGCTTACTTCATTATGTCAGAATGTTATGTACATCCACATCATCTGCTTACTTCATTATGTCAGAATGTTATGTACGTCCACATCATTTGCTTACTTCATTATGTCAGAATGTTATGTACATCCACATCATCTGCTTACTTCATTATGTCAGAATGTTATGTACTTCCACATCATTTGCTTACTTTATTATGTCAGAATGTTATGTACGTCCACATCATTTGTTTACATCATTATGTCAGAATGTTATGTACGTCCACATCATTTGTTTACATCATTATGTCAGAATGTTATGTACTTCCACATCATTTGCTTACTTTATTATGTCAGAATGTTATGTACGTCCACATCATTTGTTTACATCATTATGTCAGAATGTTATGTACTTCCACATCATTTGCTTACTTCATTATGTCAAAATGTTATGAACGTCCACATCATTTGCTTACTTTATTATGTCAGAATGTTATGTACGTCCACATCATTTGCTTACTTCATTATGTCAGAATAGTATGTACGTCCACATCATTTGCTTACTTCCACCACATTAACTTACAGTTTGATATTTATTTTTTATAGCTGCAGGGATGAAACATTTACGTGAGAATGGTATTGTTCATCGAGACATTAAACCAGGAAACATTTTGCTGTACAAAAAAGAAGATGGAAAGTAATTAGTCTCATTATTTATTTTAAATATTTGTAACTGAGGAAATAGCCAATATACGAACTAATTTTCTTTAAACAACCATGGTTCAAATTCAATGGCAACGATTAGGAAATATATATAGCGGATGCACTACCAATTCTAACTTGAAACAGGCACTCTGAAAGATAAATGATGATTTAAACCAAGTTTTCATTGGGTAATCTAGTGACTAAAAATTACCTCTCTTGCAAACACTGAAAACTGGATCTCTTCCATCTTTGGAAGTTTTCTACAAGGATGCTATTGATTACAAATTCACAAAAAGAGAAGTTCTAGTTAATAGAATATTATAAAAATAATTGAAATAAACACCCCACTTGATATAGAAACTTATATATAGTTGCCATCAGACTAAGAAATAACTTCTTTTTCCTGAAACTGCCATATCGTATTAGCTGTACAGAGAATCACAAACAAAACTATTCCTTTCTTTTTTCTTTTTTTTTTTTCCAGATCAGTTTATAAGTTGACTGACTTTGGTGCTGCTAAACAACTAGAAAATGACGAAGAGCAGTTTATGTCATTGTATGGAACAGAAGAATATCTGGTAAAAACTTTGCATACCATAGTTTCTTATGCCTACTACATTTTGACCTTAAGGTGGTATGGGAGAATAAACTAAAAATGATAGAATTTTCCATACTTTGCCAAGATGTAGTATATATTGTGCATTCAGCTTGGTTTGAAGCTACAGATTGTGAAATAATCATACATTTTGTACTAATTATACATTGATAAAGCATCATAATATGTAAAGAAGGTAAACTAATTGATAGAATTTTGAAATAAAGTATGAGAAGATAGCTCTTACAAAATGATTTCAGAATGTCAAAAGAAAAAATGGGTACATTTTTTCCTGATGAACAAATTTATGTGATCTTAAGTTATAATTACTCATCTTTTTACAAAAGTAAAATATTTTTACTTGATTTCAATTTTTTTTTAAACTTTGCATATTAAGGGGAGGTAACTCTGATAAAGCCTAAACATGAAAAAGAAAAATTTCCTGAAGATTTCTTTTTAAATTAATCTTTTTCAGAGTTACCTCCAAAATTACACCTATTGTGGTCTGCTATTTTACAATTCAAGATTGGGGAAGACACCCGTATGCCCTTAACACATATTTTGGGGTTGAAATGAAAAACCAGACAGGCCTGTTATCCTATAAGAATAATATGTTTATCTTAGTTTTTTTTTTAATTTGAAATTGAAATTGTAGTCTATTATTGATTAGTTTTTGGTTTTCAGCACCCAGATATGTATGGTAGAGCTGTAATGAGAATCAGGAACCCAGAAAATGAAGGATTCGACTCAAGTGTAGACCTCTGGAGTCTTGGAGTTACATTTTATCATGCTGCTACAGGCCAGTTACCATTCAGACCTCATGGTGGAAGGAAAAACAGACGTCAGATGTGAGATTTATAATTTGATGAAATACACTTTATATGGTGGTCATTGGTTGCCGTCTGTCATGTTAGTTTTTTGTTTATTATTTATTGAAAACAAGATGAGTCTATTTCTAAAATTAATAAATAGTTCCTCACATGTTGGCAAAAATGTATTACCATTTACCTTGTCCAAAATATAGGACACAGTATATTGTTATTCCGTGACCAAACTGACTGAGGAAATGTGCAAGGTTTATTGACACTTAATTGTGAATTCATAGTACACAGGTAGCTTAAGATTGTTTTGACTAATTGCTTTATGCAGGTAAAAAAAAAATTTGGCAGAAAAAACCACAATTTTGCTAAAAACCCAAAATCGATGTGCAAGTTATTTATTTTCTGTTGAAAAAGTAAAATTGTCATATTCGGAAATAAACAATTTAGAAACTGTGTGAGCATTCACTCTATGCATTTTTAAAATTAAATTTCATTTGTGATTCAGAAAAAATCTTTTTTGGATTTTGATGAGAGCATATTTTTTATCACTGCAGATGATAGTAAAATAAACAAACCCCTGAGTTACATTTGATCCTGTCCACTCAGTAACACCCTTTAAATCACCTAATTTTGTGTAAAAAATCTTTTGTCCTATTGCCTATATCAATAAAATTGAGAATGGAAATGGGGAATGTGTCAAAGAGACAACAACGTGACCATAGAACAGACAACAGCAGAAGGTCACCAACAGGTCTTCAATGCAGCGAGAAATTCCCGCACCCGGAGGCGTCATTACAATACAATTGGTAGCTGAGAGAGGGCATTTTAAAGATTTTACCCCCAACTTAGTTTATTTTAACACCTGCAGGAAGGTTGAAAAAAAATTCGATATCAGATTTTGGTGTGAACAAGAGAGTGTAGTAAAAAACATGTCAAGCATAGTCTCTTTCTGTAGCAGACAGGCATAATCTTCTTATATCACAAAAGATCTACCATATATTAATGTAAAATGCAATTAAAAGGCCTAAAATGACACAAAAAAATTCAACATTCACATATTTTGAACAAGTAACTATGGATACATAAACTTTTGAAGTTTAAGTATGGGTCAGAATATAGGGTTCTTTTGTACTTGAACAAAATCACAATAACAATAGACAATAGAGTAACCTAAACTTTGGACAAGGTAAATGGCATGAAGCCAAATTTATCAACTATTCTTTGAATGGGGTAAACTGACCTATCAATTCTAAAGGCTAAATGTCTATTTTCTAGGCTTATATACCAATTTAAATGGCAACATAGAATTGGTTTTTTTTTTACTGATACAGGTATTTTACAAATGGCCATAATACATTTCTTTGTTAGGATGTAAACATTTTATCTTAATAAAACAAAATGTCTATTTATCATTTATATGTTACTTCATTAATTTTCATAAGAAGCTAGTGTGAAATTTGTTGTAAGGGATTATTGAGTTATTCAACTGTGTACAACACCTGAGTTAGTTCTTTGAAGTTCCTAAAGAAATAATCTATTTATGTTTATGCCCTGCCGTAGCAGAGGGGGCATTAAGTTTTACCCTTGTCCTTCTGTACGTCTGTATGTATGTCCCAAAATTGGTTTCCGTTCTCTAACTTTAGTTTGCCTCAACCAAGTGTTATGAATCTTATACACAATGCTTATTACCACAAAACACAGATCAAGTTTGTATTTTGGTGGCGTCACTTTTACTGTTCTGGAGTTATGCCCCTTTACAAATGGAAAAATTGCTGAATTTTTCGTTTCCATTCTCTAACTTAAGTTAGCCTCAACCAAATGTTATGAAACTTATACACAATGCTTATTATAAAAAAACCAAGATAAATTACAAATTTGGGTAGCTTCACTTCTACCATTCTTGAGTAATGTCCCTTTATAACATTATATGCAAGCACGGGCATCATCTGTGTCCCATGGACACATTCCCCATTTATTTTTTAAAGATTTTTGGATTTGTTGTTTCAGAGTTCTGGTTCTTTAATTCTCAAAAAGTCATCTAATATTGTTATATTGTCCAATAAGACAAACTTTCTTTTTAATATGGATTGTTAAATCTTTTGTACAAACTGTTGTAGGTCATGAAATAAAGCTATTGTGATATTTAAGTTTATACTTGTGGAATTGTTGGTTTTAATCATCTAGCTGTATAGGTTGAAAAAAAAGTATTCTTTTAATCACTCTTTTATAAACCTTGCTTTTGATTTTGAAGATTTTCCTTCAGTGTTGCAATAAAGAAAAATCAGTCAATCTTTTAGAAGATAATCAAAGCCCTCTTGTACAAGACTATCCTCCTAAGGCAGCTATTAGACGCACAGTCTGATTAGAATTATTAGATCTCAATTTGATCCTGTTTACCAGTGTATAATTGTAGTACTTGTTCATGCCTCTCTTGGTTACTGAAACTCTTTTGATAATGGTTTGATATAATTTCACCAAACTTGCACAGATTCTTTTTCATTACATAACATTGTGCAACAACTATTTTTGTTTTTGACCAGAGCGATTTTTTTTTCATGTAGAGGACAAGTGACACACTTCTTCCTTGGAGACTCACACTTTTTAGTATTCAGACTCAATATTACTATAATTCTCAAAATAGAGGCGAAAGATACCAAAGGAACATTCAAACTCATATGTCAAAAATAAACTGACAACGCCATGGCAAACAAAAGGAAAAGACAAATACAGTACACAAAACACAACATATAAAACTAAAGACTGAGCAACACCAACCCTACCAAAAACCGGCGGTGATCTCAGGTGCTCTTGAAAGGTAAGCAGATCCTGCTCCACATGTGGCATAGATCTGTTGTGTTGCTCATGTAAATACAAACCCGGTGATAAGTCTAATTTGGTAGGTCATATTTGGGGAAAAAAGGACGGGATTGTGGTTATGACAATAATGGAACATATCTGTAAAACAGACATTCCATAACGATCAACCAACTTATGATGGCGTTGTAAAATTTACAAAGGGAAGATATCAACTTCATTACTTGGAACTCTTGGTTTAATAGCTTCCTTGTGAGCAGCAACCCTCTATCAAGGAATCATGATAGGAAATACAAGCCCTGGAATATTGTATCAACTGGGAGATATTTACTCCATATGCAGGTGCTGCTGGAATGTTGCTACATAGAAATGGAAAGTTCACAGTTATCTCTTTAAACATAAAGTTTTGTTTTCAACCAACCCTCATTGTCAATTTCTAGATGTAAGTCAAGATATGAGGCAGACTTAACTGTATCGGTTGTATCCTTTACCTCAAGTTTGATGGGATAGAAGCATTCAACATAGTCACCAAACTTTGAATTATTTTGTGACATCATCTATATATATATCGGAAAGTGAAGTTAAAGGATAATGCTAATTTCTTTTCTTTCTTTCTAAGAAGCTCCTGTATGAAGTCAGTGTCTTCATTAATAGTCTGGAAAATAGTGTTGTACTATAAAATGAATTCAAAACAATTGTATATTTATACAAATCTTTCCCAAAAATTCTGAAGGAATCATTCTTTTTGAAGTTCATCGGAATAATACTCTTATTGTGATTTTACCAGATCTTCATTTAACAAATCAGAAAACAGGAAAAGTGAATATGTTTTGTTTTGACATATACATAATAAAGCTTATTAGACAGAAACTTGTTTGTATTTTGATATTTCTGTAACTATGTACCCTGATAAGTATCTTTAAAATCTTATATCATGACTTTCCTTACCAAATCTGATTGCCATAATATATTTTAAGAATCAATATTAATCATATTATTATAATATCAATATTATTGGTTAGTCTAGGAACTAGGAACCTTGGATTGACAGAGAAAAGATTTTACGTAAATATGACTCTGTGAAAGAAGTTATTTTTTTTGTTATAGGTATGAAATAACGAGAAATAAAGAAGGTGGAGTTATATCTGGAGTGCAGAAGACTGAGAATGGTCAGATTGAATGGAGTAAAGAACTACCAGCAACTTGTCGGCTTTCACTGTAATTATCAAATTTCTTCTCATATAATCTTTCACTAGTACTGTAATTATACAATTCATGTACATGGGTTATTTTAAAATCATTTTCATATAATTGAAATAATGATAATAATAATAGTTGTTTTACCTCTTCAATTGAATAATTGTATTGTCAAAAAGTGGATTGACTTTATAAATTTGGTCAAGAAGTTAGCAAAGTCTCTGCAAGAAGTACTATATTTCACATTTATCATATTGTCAAGACCTGTTGAACAATTGGCTACAGAAGCCGAGAGGAGACTGCATGATGATTGTAGGTAAATGTTATTACATTTTAATGCTAGTAAATTGGAAGTTTCTGACGTTCACTCAGCATTTAGAATCCATGAATAAATTAGTCCCAAGGCATGAAATATAAATTCTGAAGTGAAGTACCATGTAGAAGTTAAATACAAAATGTATGTATATATTCTTAATTTATTTCAGTGGTTTAAAGCAGCATCTAACACCAATATTGGCTGGCCTGTTAGAGAGTAATGAGAAGAAAAAGTGGAATTTTAATACATTGTTTAACGAAGTGGAGAAAATAGATGAGAAAATGATTATTCATGTATTTTGTCCTCACAAATGGTCACTTTTAAGGATTTATATAAAGCCTGAAGCATCGTAAGTAGCAAAATTTTGTTTTAAGCAAGTATTTTGTTGAATTTATTGGTCAGTTTTGAGGACTTATATAAACCTGAATTATCACTTTTAATTAGTGGTGTGTATAGGACTTGTGGCAGTATGATTTTACACATAAAACAAAATATCAAGCTTGGACCAATGAATAATTAGTCTTAGTCCCTGAAATTTAACGGTGGAGAGTGGAGAAGTACTGTATGGCATGCAAAAAGATTTGTTATTTCTATTTGACATCATCAGGCATGGTTACCTTTTTATAATGACGTCACAATAGCAAATTCTGATGAAACCAAGAAAATTTGATGGCATAATTGAATTTTAACTAAGAAGAACTGAGATCAAAAGAACCACACATTCATTATAAAAAATAACCAACCAGTCTGGAAAAGTATAAATCAGTTAAGAATTAGAAAGATAAAATCAACATTGATAGAAGCAAACAAATTTGAAGTTTCTAACTTCAGGTATAGTGGATTCCAAGAATTGATAGCAGAACAGAGTGAGATATCTGCAGAGAACCAGATATTAATCTTTGAAGGAGAAGTCTTATTAACATTAATTGAAAGTGAAATATCACCAGTCAGGCATTATCCTAAAACCATTAGTGAGGAGACTCCAGTTTATGTATTTTCTAAGATCGTAATGGAACCAAGGCAGTTTCAATTTGCTATCTATCGTATGTATTATTTTACAATAACTTTGTTTAATTTACAGTTTCTAAATGACGTCTATATTTGTTTGATTTTCATTCAAATTTTTTAATATCTTTTTGAAAGTGCATACATTTTGCATAAATTTTTGTTTGTTTCAAAGTTTCTGAATTGTTTATTTCACAGTTTTACTTTTAATATCTTTTGACATTTCATGAACTTTTTAGTAAGCCTTTGACAATAATTTGTTTTTGTCAGTTTCTAAATGACGTCTATATATGTTCGATTTTCATTCAAATGTTTTAATATCTTTTTGAAAGTACATAAACTTTTGATAAAATTTTGTTTATTTCAAAGTTTCTGAATTGTTTATTTCACAATTTTACTTTTAATATCTTTTAGACATCTCATGATGTGAACTTTCAAGTAAGCTTTTGATGATAACTTTGTTTATTTCACAGTTTCTAAATATCATCTGTATTTGTTTGATTTTCATTCAAACTTTTTAATATCTGTTGAACGTTACATAAATTTTAATAAATTTTGTTATTTCACAGTTTCTAAATTGTTTATTTCACATTTTACTTTGAAAATTATGCACTTTCCAGTAAGCTTTTGATAAACAATGTTGAATAATCAAAAAGATTTTATGCTAGCTGGTGTATTCAACATGTCTTACACAAGCACAGAAAGTTTGATAAGTTGATAGAAAGTTAAAAAAAAAAAGGAAAAAAAAACCTTTATTTCCCTCTGTGGGACCTTAGCATACAAATTTGGGTACAGACGAATGGTTGTGGTTAAAAAAAACACACCCTATCCATATTATGAATCTGTGCCAAAAACGTGGCCCATACATATATTTCACAGAAAAAGTATCAACCATTCATGTAAATTTTTATACGACCGCAAAAAATTATTGCAAAAAATTATTAATACATCATTTGAATTACCTCCCTTACACTGCTTTTAAATTATGTATAAAGTAATGGTTGATGAACAATTAAGACAATTTAAAAGCAGTGTAAGGGAGGTAATCCAAATATAACATTTCGATTACCTCCCTTACACTGCTTTTTAATTATGTTTAAAGAAATGGATATTTATATAGGAAGACCAGTAAAAATATCTGCAAATGTTGCATCTTTTTTTTTTTACAAAAAAAAAACATATGAAAGATTTGACGCCATATTTTAAATTCTATTATAAAATAGATTAAGTTAGCACTATGGTAAATTTAAATGGGTATTTATGGTTGCAAACTCAATTGGAAATTTGAATTGAGATTATGACCATATCTTGAGGGAAAGAATTTTTTTTGGGGAAAAAGAAATTGTGGGGGGTCAATTTTTTCTCATTTCAGATTTCAGAAATTAAAAAGAAAAATTCTTCAAATATTATTTTTTTTTTTTAAAAGTGTGTGTGTGTGGGATTTAATACGCAACAGCATAGTGTATTTCACAAAAGCAAAAAGGGGGGGGGTAGATTTTTTTTTTTTTTGTGGGGAGAAAGGGGGGGGGGGGGGGGTGGGGGTCAATTCGCAACAGCAAAAAATTGAATATAAATTCAAATCATGTAACCAATTCTAAGTTCTTTGACTACAGTTATTCTGTGTCAGAAACCTTTTATGTGTCAAATATTTAATTACAATCCAAATTCAGACCTGTATCAAGCGCGAATATTGCGTCCATTTTTGCCCAAACTGTTCAGGGTTGAACCTCAGCGGTCGTATCTAGCTGCGCTCAGCGAAGCAATTTATTCCCTTCTGTCTTATATACAATCTGTGACATCTTTTAACTTTTGTCAATAAAAGATCTAGAAGATAAAAATGATAACATGGAATCAATCTTGTTAATGTGATTTAAAGAGTGGTGCACAGACATTATTTCCAGACATCAGGTTAGAAGAAAAAAAATCATGACCCTACTACCTATTGATATACTGCTGTGAAATCTACTACCTATTGATATACTGCTGTGAAATCTACTACCTATTTATATACTGCTGTGAAATCTACTGCCTATTGATATACTGCTGTGAAATTGTATCAATTGATATATTTGATATACATTATAACCCATTACAACAACACGTCTGTTATTACCTTCTTAAATGAAGAGCCTTCTGCATTCTAGGTAAATATACTACCATAACACCACAATGATGTACCATTAATAACAATGTTGGTCTAGCATTAAATTATGTTTCACCTGTTGTTTTGTTTAGAGCCTAGTGTCCTATGTTTAGTACATTTTGTATTAGTGTATACTACATTTGATAATGGCTTATAACTGAGCTTCCCAGGTCTGTAACAATTGTAATTCACATCTAATTATTTGTTTACAGCTGAATTTTCCAGGATTGTAATATTGTACCTTACAACTGAATTTATGGTTACTGCTGAGTTGCTAATGTTTGTTAAATTGTACCTTATGTCTTATTATCTTTTACAGCTGAGTTTCCACGGTTTGGTAATACAGTACATGTTGCTAATGATTACCAGCTTTCCAAAGTATGTAATGCTGTTGTTCATTACATTTATTGGTGTGTCAAACGATTTCATTTGAAAGAGAAGCTACTCAGACACTGTGTTCTCAGTTACATGTAAGTTTTATGTACTTTAAAACATTATGAAAGGATCGTAAAGTTTTTTGAAGGCAGCTTAACTACCAAAATAATTTATCCCAGATATCAAATGAGATGGGATACTCAACAGTTTATAAATTTGAATAACTCTATCAGTTATTTTAATTTTAAAACAAGAGAACTATTAAAATCTTAATAGAATAGTAAGCATATGATCATCTAAGGGATATATCCCTTGCCAAGTCAAGATAATTCGAGCACAATTCAATTCTATCCTGTTTCTTTTTCTTCATTGGTAAGAGAATTTACATTTACATTTGAGCGCCACACTATCGAAACTAACAACTCAAATTTCTTTGCTAGAAATGTTACACTTGCTATTGCCCTCGGCTCACTCACATATTAATTGTTTAGGCAATCAATTGTTAATTAATTACACACTGTATTTATTTAATCAATTACATTCTAGTTTATGACTTCTAAATATGTGGTAAGGTAATTTCATGTGCTCATGGTACATATGTTTATTGCTGTGTTGACATAATAATTTTTTTATAAATAGCTTGGTACTTTATTTTAGTAAAACTGCTATACAATCATTGATTTATCTTTTTATAAGAATAAGAAGATGTGGTATATTTATTAGATCAAAACAAGCATATTTATATGTGAAATATCTTTTATAACCATGATAACAATAATGTGAATTTGAAGAAACCGGGGTAATTCAGATAACTGTTTTTGTTGCAGAAGGCGAGACATAGGTGTTATTTTCCAGTGACAACAGCATCAACAATTGATTGTTATGTTTTTCTGCTTAAGTCAGTTTGAGATCAACTACTTGTGATAGATCAATGATTATTTTCTATTAGGTTGTATTACTTTCAGTACATCTCAGTTTGATGAACATTTTGTAGTGCTGGCCTTTTTGTCATGGTCCAGTGACTTTTAATTAATTACCAATTTTTAATGTTAAGTTTTCTTCTTAAGTCAGTTTGATAGGATATACTTATCATAGACAATGATATTTTCTATAAACTTGCTTTACTATCAGTACATCTCAGTTTGACGATCATTTTGAGGCACACCCTCTTTGTCACGATCCAGCAACTTTGAATTAATTAGCAATGTTGCAGTACATCAGATAGTCTGTTTCTGATTTTGTTATTGACAGGCTTGACATATCTCTGTATCAACATTTTATTATTCCTATTTATGTATTATAAATACTGTTGTGTAATACAGTACAAAGATAGCTAAGCAACTGAATTCTATTGGATATTCTTTAAAAATATTTGAGGCTTATATCTGGACCATACTTCTCTTGGAAATTGTTAACATCCAATGCAGGACTGTTTTCCTTTTTACCCTAACTGAATCATAAAGCTAGGTTGTATTATATATTTGTTTTTCTTTAGATTTGGTCTTTTGTTGGTTTTTTTTTTTTGTGTCTTTGATTGGCTAGCTCATTGGCATTTTGGTAAAATCTCATTTTTAGATAAATGTTTACAAGATAAGTACAACCTTCTATCTGTATTTGCCACGATATAGCCTTTTTGTGCTGATGTGGCGTAAAGCAATCACCAATCAATCAATCAATCTACCTGTTTTTCCTTGTATTTTAGACATGAACTTCACCATGAGTGCACACATTTATTGGACTATAATAAACATCAGACACAACATTATCAGACATCTGAACAATGGTATAGACAAATAAAGGGACAGTTAGAGCAAGTGAGAGCACTAAGTGCTATGTATCGTATAGATAACAAATTTAAAGTCATCTATGGTAGTCAGCATGGTAATCTAGAGAGCTCTTGGCAAAGTGTATGTATATGTACAGGGTCGTATTATACATTATAGGCTATTTGATTGTATTGAATTCATTGATATGCAGCAACAATTGATAGGGGACATTGAATTTAGTAAATATGTGGAGGTATGAACCAGGTATATAGAAGAGTCTTTATAACAACTATTTGGGGGCATTTGTTTTGACAGTGTGGGATACCTAAATATGCAGTCATGTCTTGTCTAATTGGAGGCCGTAAGTTATATACCACTTTCACATGTATAGGAACTCCTGTAAAAACTCATCAGAGATCTCTTGTAATATCTTTAGTTGAGTGACATCTAGTATGTTGGGCAGGAAATAATACACAATCTTATCTGGGCTGATTAGGTACTCTGGAATACATAGATAGATTTTAACTGGGCATTACTGTCATATAACACTTGAAAGGAAGGTTGTGAATACTGTTATGAGGGTGGTAAAGGGTTATTTTCGTGCAACGTGATCGCCGTTTTTTATTTCACGTTCAACGTGTTTTTACTTTTTTATTTAACGTTCAGTCGTGCAAGACAGGTGCCTCGTTCAACGTGTTCTGCTTATTTAATTTTACGTGCATCGTGATTTTCAAATGCTTATTTTGCGTGCTCTGTATTTTTCAAATAAAATTCAAATACTTGGCAGGGATCGTCAAAAAATACTTTTTTAAAAGCCGTAAACCATTTACATCATAAATGTGTATACTAAATCGGGAATAACAAGTAAAACAGAGAGTTTATATATACAAGAAGACAGTGACTCAGTCACAAAAGGTTCACAGCAGTCTTTATTTTTCGTGCAACGTTCATGACAGAAATTATTTCATGTTCAACGTGAAATTATGTCTTATTTCACGTTTTTTCCGTGCAAGCACCCCCCCTTTACCACCCTCTGTTATACTTTATATGTAGTCAGGATGAACTCTTTCTGTCCGGATGAACCAAATTAGTTAGAATATACAAAATAGTAGTATTAACCAATATCATTCATGTATTGTTTTTAATAAAATGGTTTTCTTTCCAACAGCTGAAGAGTTATCTGGATAGAACAGTACAAGATTTATTTAATATAGAAAAAGATGAGTTACAGAACAGGAAGTTGGAGTATGTGTGGGACGACAGACTGGGCTGCTTTGATGATAAGGATAGATGGTAGGAGAAAATATGTACTTTACCAAACCTTTTTGAAACCAAGACTGATTTCATATTTCAACTTGTAGGTTAATGAACATCAAGTTGTGTACAGTACACTACAGATTGAACCTATATAACTTAATTATTTGTCCCCATATGTACATTGGTGCATTTATTTAGAGTGACTTATTGGGTAACTTGGAATACATGTTGTTAATTTATTAACTTTCTTTAATTTGTATGTAAACTTGTGACTCTATTCAAATGAATGCATTATACTGGTGTATTTGTCCTGAACATCCATGAAATATTTGCCACTGGATGTTAAGCAACCAACAATCAATCATATACTGGTGTACAGTCTGGAGAATAAAAAATACCATACTTCTTTGTACTCTTTTTATCTGTTTAATTTGACATTTTTCTAGTGCACAGAAAGTTGAGATGATGATTGATACTCTGAAGAAGATTGTTCATAACTTTAAAGAAAATCGACAGAATCGTTCATTGGACCACATTACAGAACAGCTTCATATGTTCAGAAAGTAAGAGAACAATGCTATTGAAAAGATTTTTTGTGTACCACACCTATGATAGTATATAGGGGGATTATGTTTCCAGTCTGTGTGTCCATCCATCCTTTCTTTAAACCTTTTCTATTCTGTTAAAGCAATGAAATCAGACTTGCCAAAAATATTCCTTATGCTGATTGTACAAGAGTTATTTGGTTCAGATCATCAAATCAAGTCATAAGACTCATAATAGGGCTTTTATTAATGGTTGATATGTAGTAATAAATAGTTTGATATAGTATTTGTCAATTTAGTACAAATGTTCACACTCAGTGGGAACTTATTTAAATCATACTTATTGAGATTTTTAGTTCCAATTAAAACCTAATGTAGAAAATGAGTACGTACAGAAATACTAATAGGACTATTTCTTATTAAATCTTCATGGCTAAACAAATATGGGAAATAAGATGAACCCAACTAAATTAATTTTAAATGTTAAATTCTTGTAAGAATTAAGTAGAGCCAATGTTTTTTATCTCAGATCTCCAAACTCAAAGAGTTGACAGAGGTAAAGTGCCATGGGCTCTACACATTAAGGAAACCTTACAATAGCTCTCCGACATACCCTAATTTTTTAAGTGTTTCTTCATGTTATGTCATATTCTCATCCAAAAAAAAAATAACATACTGTTGAGACAAACTGCCTATAAATAGAATAATAACATTTTATCTTTTAAACTTTATCAGCTCAAATATCAGCTTGCCCTAGCGGGCATGGTTAATATTCTTGCTTACAAAGTCAATACCAAAAACAAAATGCCATAATTCTATATGTTTCATATAAAAAATGGGAAAAAACTTATTCACTGTTTATCAGTCAGGGGCATTACTTAAACAAGTAACTTTTAAAATTACCTATACAAGTAATGTTGAAAACGTGGCTATATTAAATATTACTTATATAAGCCACTTTTCTAAATATTATTTTCATAGGTGTCCATTAATACAGATTTTACTAGCTTTAACAAATTTTCACAGTCATCTGGTTATTTTTCCCATGAAATATACAAATTAATCCTCCTGAAACACTAATTGCCTTTCCGACGCACTTATCTTTTTATCTTTCATATCGATGCTTCTTGTCAAATATCATTTTCCTTGAAAATCTTGAAGGTAGACAGATATAAATAGATAAAAACTTGTGATTTAATTAAGACTTAAAGTTATTTATAATTTGTAACCCAAAACAATTACATATGTTCCTTAAATAATTGTAATTACTAATTCTTTCAAAAATGTATAAAATAACTTATTCAAGTAATATTTTTGTCATTATTTTTAAAGTAACCTCTTATCTCTATACTCCTCTCAAATTTAATGGATTCTTAATTTTATGTAATAAAATGATGTAAACATTCATTAAAACTACATTTAGTCCATGCTTCTATTGAAATATAAAATAACTCTATTGAGTAATTTAATGATTTTCAAAAACATATATTACCTATATAAGTAACTACAAAATATTACTTGTTTAAGTAACGCCCCTGACTGTTTATGGTATGCAAAAATGCACAGTTTCTTTCAGATAAGTAGTTAAAGGGAGATAACTCAACCTACTTATAAGTCTGCAAATGATTATCATCATTGGAAACTCATTTATACTTTGTCTCTACCAGAAGGCATGTTACAACATGGAGAATAAACTATAAAATACACTGATGATGAAATATAATGCATCCAAACAACATCACTAGTTAAAAATCATGATGTTTCTGTTGCATTGTTTACGACTTTCATATAAAGAACATCACAAAACAAAAAATAATGATTTGCAGAAAACAAATAGAACTATATTGAAAAAAGACTTCAAAATATTGGAACTTTATAACGAATTGATTAATGGCAATACCTGGTTTAGTTGAGATACAAGCATGATATAGCATATTTTTTTTGTTGAGAACTCAGTTTCAATTGGAACTCTGCACAGCTAAAGGTTAAACAAATATCTGGTGCTTATTTCCCCAAAAATTATTGTTAAACTACAAGCACAATAGATTCTTTTGATTCAGATAAACTTACATGGATTTTTATTGCATCATATGATGAAAAAAAAACAAATTTATCACTTTTTTGTGCACAAAAATTGTTATGACATCAGAGTCTTCTGCTAGTGATGGTTAATTGTCTAAATCAGAAATGTTGGATAATGTATTATGGAAAATCACTGTTTTGGATGTTCTGGTTGTTCCAAATGTCATTAATGAGGCACTGTGACTGCACAACACAAATAACGATGATATAAGTTGAATCTTGAAGTTTTTAATATGTAGATATGATAATTTGTATTAGTTCTTATTATTTGTATTTGAATGAGGATGATGGATTATTAGTCATTTCTATATGTTTATTTGTAATATATGATTTGAAATTATTTTTATGAAATTTTATTTAGGTTAGAAGGCTCTTAAAAAATATTAACAGAAAATTGTGAAAAAATAAATTTAAATGATATACCTTTTTTTCTTCACAGGAATAGTCTCCAAGAGATATGTGTGACAACCCAATCGATTATTGAGAAATGTCACAAAAATGCTCAGCGACAGTTTGATAAATTCAATGAATGGTACCAGTAAGTATTTTACCTTGCCAAGAAATCATGGGGAAATTGCTTATTTTGAAACAGAAGCCAAATATTTTCAAGAGGACTCAATTCAAGAGATTGTACAGGCCCATTGAGTTGTTGTATTTGATTCTGAATTTTAAGTTCTTCTCCAGCCTTTGGCCAATGACACGATCTCCTGCCTTGAGAGGCAGTTCTTCTCCAGCCCTTGGCCAATGACAGGATCTCCTGCCTTGAGGGGCAGTTCTTCTTTAAATCAGTTTTTTTTCTAGAAAAAATCATTTAAAAAAAAAATGTCTGCTTGTTATATATTGTGATAATTGTTATCATTTCATCATACAATCTTTTTTCTTTGTTGTAAAATAACAAAAAAGAAGTTTAATTCTAAAATACATCAGTGTAAACTGTGTTTTATTTGTAGCTCAGCTGTTGAAATGAGATGCTCTACCAACAGTATAGAGAAAGATTTACTTCAGATAGAGATGTCACACCAGAAACCTTTTGTTGAAAAGTTGAGGAAGGTTTGTATATTCATTATTTTATACTTGGTAGGTAAATTAAATATATAGTTATACATATACACATATACATATATACATGTATATATATACAATAGCAGTATTTGAATGGAGATCATATGTGAATTGGTTTAAACAGTTTCAATACTTCGATTGACAACCGCATGGAATAATGTTTTAAGGCTTTGTTGGAAAATAATAAAATTTAAAATTGTGAAAACAGAAAGAAAATTTTTGTTTATCTGTGAGAAAAGGAAGATATGTTTTTTATTCCTTAGCATGGATTGTTGTCAATATGGTATTTTGCTATCAAAGCAAAACTTTAAGTTTTTATTGTATAATATGTATTTCAATTGAGGAAACAAAAACATGCAACAATTTGATACAAATTAACATGGTCTCATCATGCAAAAGATAGCGTATAAAAGCCTAGTATTAAAAAAAGAAAATCTTATTATATGAATTAGTGAAGCTCTAAGTCCAAAGTAGTTATATTCTTTCACTGTTTTGATTTCTTTGTTATTAAAAAAATAATTGCAAAGTACCTGGTCGTCATCCCTTTGACAAGACAACAATTTTCATTTAAGCTATACAGTAGTGGATTTACTTGCAGTGTCAAAATTTTACAGTATGTGTGAAAATGCTTGAGTTGATTTTGAATATCATCTTTTGACTCTGCAGTAAAACAGTAATGTCTGCATATAGCAATACAAACAATTTTAGATACATTGAGAGACAGTTATAAAGGTCATCTGAGATACTTTTGAGGCCATTTATGACCTGTATAGATACAAAACCCACTACGTCGTTAATATATATTGAAAATAAAAAAAGTGACAAACTTTTTTCTACTTATTGCACTCCTATTGTACACAGAAAATAATCTGATGTCTGTTCTTTATATATTACTCTGGATTTGTTATTATTAAACATGTTCATAATTATTTTTAGTATTTTATCATTCATATTGTTGGTAGCTAACTTTTGCCATAGCCTGCATCTCTAGACATCATCAAATGCCTTAGCAAAGTCAATGAAGGCACAAAACAGTTTTTTTTTACACAATAATTGTTTTGATTTTAGAAAAACATAATGTGTTATACAAATTGATTGTTTCAATTTTAGAAAACATTAACAATGATTGTTTTGATTGTAAGAAACTTAATGTTTTCTGATAAAACCATGTCTAAGCAAGCTTTAGAATACAATTTTTTTTAAAGAATGTAAATAGGTATTCAAATTCCAAAATTTAACTTTAAACTCCTGAACAGGACAGCATGTTGATTTCAAGTGACATAGTTTTTTAAGTATTGGGTTTGAAAGATAGAAGATCTACTGAATCTACATGCAGAATGTATTTGGTTCATCTGACAATTAATCTCCTCTCCTTGCTCAAAAGTAAAAAAAATGTGACATAAAGATCATATTAAGTGTAAATTTCAAATGTTAGTAAATAGAAAAACAGTGCAATTCTGAGGGTAGCTAGTCTTGGAACAGAACAGCCAAAGCAATGTTTCAATTTGAATTTTTATAGAAGGAAATTAGAATATAAAGAATTGTGTGTATCGTGCAGTATTGATTTATGAAAGAACTAAACATCAAACCAAGTTAGAAGAATTGAAGTTGGACAGAATAAAACTAAATTCTAAATGTAACAATAAGTATGTTAAGAGGGTAAAAATCTTTTAAACACCATTGGTACCCAGAGGATTTTGTCTGATGAGACAATATAGACCTATAAAAGTTTTAGACAATTCTGAAATGAAGTAAATTATACCTGAATATGTATTGTATTGCTCTCTATAGAAATAGTACTTTTAGTCTTATAGCTTGCTGTTTGGTGTGAGCCAAGGCTCTGTGTTGAAGGCCGCACTTTGACCTGTAATGGTTTACTTTTACAAATTGTGACTTGGATGGAGAGTTGTCTCATTGGCACTCATACCACATCTTCTTCTTATATCTATATACATCAAGAAAATGTTAAGTTTTCAAACAATCTATATTCTATACATTAGATTTGGCTTTCAATACCTTCCTCTGTCTAAAAAAGTTAGCACAGTCTTCAACTTACAGTGAAGTGTGAGCTTTTGTCTCTTGTTGAAGGCCTCATTGTGATTTTAAGATGAAGAACACAATAAACTATGATTCCAAGACAGAAACATGCTGCTCCAAATCTGGTCCTATGGCCCCAGTAAGTACCCGAAATGATCATCATATGTTCAAGCAGTCTTGAACTTAGTTTATTAAGAATAGATGAGATTTTAAATAAGACATAATTACATCTTTATAATTAGGGCCCCGTCGAATGGCAGACACCCTATAGTGATCAGTCTGTCCGCTGTCCGTAACAAATTGTGTCCGCTCTATATCTAGAGAACCGTTATGATTTCAAAGTTTATACTTGACATGTATATTAACCAACATCAGAGGGTGTGTCATAATGTATGTACAACTTCCTAGGTCAAAGGTCAAGGTCAAAAACTTTGCTTTTAGTTGACAACCCCATGTCCTATGGTAAAGATTGTGTCCGCTCTATATCTTGAGAACTGTTATGACTTCAAAGTTTATACTTGATATGTATATTAACCAACACCAGAGGGTGTGTCATAATTTATGTACAACTTCCTAGGTCAAAGGTCAAGGTCAAAAACTTTGGTTTCAGTTGACAACCCCATGTCCAATGATAAAGATATAAATTTTTTACCACACATTATTCACAGCGGGGCCCACAGAGATGGCTCCCATCTCAATGATATCTAGTTATATTTCTCGCATTTACCAAAATGTGAACAATTGACTCACCTTGTTTTCTATTTTCCAAGACAATGTGCAAAGTATCTTGTTAAAGCTTTTACAAAACGTATACAATTACATAATAGCAATTCATTACTATATTACTTTACTCATTAATTTTCTGAATTTATTTTGTTATGCTAATTTGAATGAAGTTACCTACAGGTCAAATGGGCGAGGTGTTTTAATGATTTAATGTAAAAATGATATTGTTTGTTGCACAATAACACATGTACACATGTCACTATAATTAACAATATACTTCAGTCTTACTTATATCCAATTGTTATTTTTTCAGACATCTGATGATGTTGTACAGAGTCTAACAGATATTAAATGTGCCTTAAAAAACCATGGAGTATTATCAAATGGAGTACTTGATAAAACTGACAGTCTGTCACCTAAAGGATGCTCACTGTCTTCTCCAAAAGAATTTGTTTTGCAGCTTAATAATGGGTATGATCTGCAATATATGCATTATAAAAAATTATAAGATAGGTATTTTAACACGGGCTTTATGTGGCAATTTTTGCAAGAGGTTTTCATTGCTTGGCAAGGAGAAAGTTGCAAACATTACTCAACAATTCCTTTTCTACTTAGATATGAAGTCCTCTGATTGTGTTAGAAATATTTTTAAAGAAATTTACTCTAAATTCAGAAATTATTGCGTGCATTTATTATTGCGATTTTGTCATTTTGGACTAAAATGCAATTTTAATTTTTGCAATATTGAGAAAAATCCTGTTTAACTCATATAGAAAATTTCAAAATGCGAGTTTTAATTATTGCGATTATAACCCGTTCGCATTTTTCGCAATAATAAAAACATCGTAATAATTTCTGAAATTACAGTAGTTTGTTATATATGTGGTGCATAATTGAAATGATTGAAGATCATTGTAAGAATGCCCTCATACACCAAAATAAGTCTTAGTAACATTACAGACCATCATCAGAAAAAAAACCATACTTCATACACCAAAATAAATCTAAGAAACATTACAGACCATTGTCAGAGAGAACTCATACTTCATACACCAAAATAAGTCTAAGAAACATTACAGGCCATTGTCAGAAAAATCTCATACTTTATACACCAAAATAAGTCTAAGAAACATTACAGGCCATTGTCAGAAATAACTCATACTTTATACACCAAAATAAGTCTAAGAAACATTACAGGCCATTGTCAGAGAGAACTCATACTTTATACACCAAAATAAGTCTAAGAAACAGTACAGGCCTTTGTCAGAGAGAACTCATACTTTATACACCAAAATAAGTCTAAGAAACATTACAGGCCATTGTCAGAGAAAACTCGTACTTTATACACCAAAATAAGTCTAAGAAACAGTACAGGCCTTTGTCAAAGAGAACTCATACTCTATACACCAAAATAAGTCTAAGAAACATTACAGGCCATTGTCAGAGAGAACTCATACTTTATACACCAAAATAAGTCTAAGAAACATTACAGGCCATTGTCAGAGAGAACTCAGACTTTATACACCAAAATAAGTCTAAGAAACATTACAGGCCGTTGTCAGAGAGAACTCATACTTTATACACCAAAATAAGTCTAAGAAACATTACAGGCTGTTGTCAGAGAGAATTCAATTTATATGATTTCTGTCTTGCCTAGATGAAGTCTAAAAATCAAGACTAAGGCGTGCTGTTTTTGACGGCGTTGGTGGCAGCAGTAATGTATTAGTATGATTAGGTCAGTTTAAGAGGAACAAATAGTGGTATGTTATTATATTTGGTATGCAGTTGTATTTGCTTGGTACATCTCATTTCTAATGAGATTATTTGGCCTCACCCCCTCAGTCATGGTACATTGACTTTGAAAATTTTACTTAGTTTACAACTTAAAGTTTGTGATAAGGTCAGTTTAAGGGAAACCACCAGTGGTAGATCAATGATATTGCAAATGCATTTGTATTAGCATTGGCACATCTCATTTCTATGGAGATTATATGGCCCCACCCCCTCATCATGGTTCATTGACTTTGAAACTTTTGCATAGTTTACATGTTAAAAGTTTGTGTTTAGGTCAATTGAAAGGGAACCACTTATGATATTCGTCAGTGCAATTGTACTAACATGGGCATTTTTCATTTCCACAGAGGATATTTGGCCATGCACTTTCAGATATGGTTCATTGCCTTTGAATCTTTTACATAGTTTACATATTAAAGTATTGCAATTTTGATGTCCACATTTGCATTATACTATCAAAATAACATAAAGGCTAGACATATCTCTGTGTCAACAGTTTATTATTATAAAGTATTTTAAAGATGTAAAGTACACTTGAGAAACATATATTTTTTAATTTTTAAGAAATAATTCATGGAAGCCATAGATTTGTTGGACATTTACACATGGCCTGGGCCGTGATATTCGTTAATTTGCTCAGGATAAAATTCGAATATCACGGCCCAGGCCATGTGTAAATGTCCAACAAATCTATGGCTTCCATGAATTATTTCGATTCTAATAGGACAAATTCGGTAATATAAAAACGGAAGCGAACGTAAGATTGCCGTGTGTATGGTTGTTCTATTTTACCCCCTGTAAGATAAAAGCTACAAATTTCATATAAATCCAAGTCTTACATGAATTATTTCTCAAATAAGCAGTAGAAAAAATGTGTTCAATTCTCATAATTCTTAACCCAAACATTTATTTTTCGTTGGCTACTATTTGCTGTCAAATCCAGAGTTGACATGTCGTAACTAAGGAGTGAGCCGCCATGTTGACTTGCTGAAATCCACAAATGTGCGAATAATGCAATGGAATAGAAAATGAAACAACACCTACCTCAAAACTCCATTTTAATGCAATATTATCCGAACTTAGGGAGTATACATAACGGAAAACATTCAGCTTTAGAGTTTTCATTCGTATGACGTCATGTTATATATTAATTATGACATGACGTTAATGCACCAAGATCATTCATGAAATTTGGCGGAATTTTATTTTATTTTGATTTTATACATTTTTTAAGCTCTTGTGCATTAATTATTTTTGTTATGCAATATAATAGGAATAACGGTTCTGTAGTTTCTTTTTCAATTTCAAATTGGACACAACGAAATCGACATGGTGTTTGTACATAGGTTACAATACATGTGGATTTACGTGGGAGGTAAATAGTAACAGCCACCAATATGCACATCTCTGAGTCTGCGCTTTATAAATATAGATATATCGAGAATTTTATCACGGTGTTGTTTACAAAGCGAAAGAAGCACGTCATATTAGAATTTTATTTATTTTTGTAGCTTTGAAGAATCTAACAAACTAATGGAAGAGACCCAGAGAGCATTTTCCCAGAATAACAAAATGCTGACTGAGTAAGTTATTATAACATTGTCAATGTTCTGTAATATACTGGTAAATCTTCTTTCACTTAATAACTTTTTCTTAATAGTCAATATTCAGATACTGTTTTTATAAAGGATACCACAGATACAGTTAAGGTCTGTTTCACTCCTCTATAAAGGATACCACAGATACAGTTAAGGTCTGCTTCACTCCTCTATAAAGTATACCACAAAAACAGTTAAGGTCTGTTTTTATAAAGGATACCACAAATACAGTTAAGGTCTGCTTCACTCCTCTATAAAGGATACCACAGATACAGTTAAGGTCTGCTTCACTCCTCTATAAAGTATACCACAAATACAGTTAAGGTCTGTTTTTATAAAGGATACCACAAATACAGTTTAGGTCTGCCTCACTCCTCTATAAAGGATACCACAGATACAGTTAAGGTCTGCTTCACTCCTCTATAAAGGATACCACAGATACAGTTAAGGTTTGCTTCACTCCTCTACAAAGGATACCACAGATACAGTTAAGGTCTGCTTCACTCCTCTATAAAGGATACCACAGATACAGTTAAGGTTTGCTTCACTCCTCTACAAAGGATACCACAAATACAGTTAAGGTCTGCTTCACTCCTCTACAAAGGATACCACAGATACAGTTAAGGTTTGCTTCACTCCTCTACAAAGGATACCACAGATACAGTTAAGGTCTGCTTCACTCCTCTATAAAGGATACCACAAATACAGTTAAGGTCTGTTTCTATGAAGGAGACCACAAATACAGTTAAGGTCTGCTTCACTCCTCTATAAAGTATACCACAAATACAGTTAAGGTCTGTTTTTATAAAGGATACCACAAATACAGTTTAGGTCTGCTTCACTCCTCTACAAAGGATACCACAAATACAGTTAAGGTCTGTTTTTATAAAGGATACCACAAATACAGTTTAGGTCTGCTTCACTCCTCTACAAAGGATACCACAGATACAGTTAAGGTCTGCTTCACTCCTCTATAAAGGATACCACAGATACAGTTAAGGTCTGCTTCACTCCTCTATAAAGGATACCACAGATACAGTTAAGGTCTGTTTCTATGAAGGAGACCACAAATACAGTTAAGGTCTGCTTCACTCCTCTATAAAGGATACCACAGATACAGTTAAGGTCTGCTTCACTCCTCTATAAAGGATACTACAAATATAGTTAAGGTCTGCTTCACTCCTCTATAAAGGATACCACAAATATAGTTAAGGTCTGCTTCACTCCTCTATAAAGGATACCACAGATACAGTTAAGGTCTGTTTTTATAAAGGATACCACAAATACAGTTAAGGTCTGCTTCACTCCTCTATAAAGGATACCACAAATACAGTTTAGGTCTGCTTCACTCCTCTACAAAGGATACCACAGATACAGTTAAGGTCTGCTTCACTCCTCTATAAAGGATACCACAGATACAGTTAAGGTCTGCTTCACTCCTCTATAAAGGATAACACAAAATACAGTTAAGGTCTGTTTTTATAAAGGAGACCACAAATACAGTTAAGGTCTGCTTCACTCCTCTATAAAGGATACCACAGATACAGTTAAGGTCTGCTTCACTCCTCTATAAATAATACCACAGATACAGTTAAAGACCAAACAGCCTATTGTTGATGCGCATCAACTAACGCAACTTGGTAGTGACATAAAAGCTCTATGACGTTGTTTCTAGCCACGAAAAAAAACGTCAAATTATAACGTCCTATTTCGTGTTTTTCACGGATTCCAACATGATGTACGCTTAAAACTACGTCTTCCAAGAAAAGTGGAATTAAGCGTCGCGCAGATACCTAGTGGAAATTAAACACAAATGGACACAAAAGATACTACATTATCTGTAACCTCCGTTTTAATAAAAATAATAATAAAAATATAAATGTTGAACTCGGCTTTTTGCATTTGAGCCAATCTGCATTTCACTTTTTTTCTTTCACTTGCGCCGACTTTGTCTTTCATTTGCGCGGGTTCATTGTGTACAGGTAAATTATAGGTGAGAGTTATTTTTTTATTTATCATATAAACCTCTTCCGTTAGCCAGTTGTACATATGTTATGAATTGTCAATTACAAGATGTATATAACTGTTGTCCCCTGCTCACAAAGAGGAGGTGGGAGTAGAATTTCGAGCAGGATAAGTCAATTTAAAAGATATTTGTGCACTCTGTTTACATCCACTAAAATCACGGAGTAAAATTCTATTTACAGCATTTCAAAGCACCACAATAAAATCCATAAAAATGTAATACTAGTACAATGAATTATTATCTTGTCGAGAATTTATATGCCACACATCTGATATATTCCTTTCTTGTCATTTCATCTTTTCTATACTTGTTGTACTTGCCAACAACGAAGTCCATCTTTTCTTTCTCGTGTCAAAACGAAGTTCTCGAACAATATAACCAAAAGTATCTTAAACATAAGGGAACACTGTTTATATCCATATATTGCCATGCAATATACATTCTAGGTTTACTACATGTACATGTATTTACTCGTATAGCAAATATAGTATCGGGGCTGTTGATAAAAAAAATAAAATTGGCGCCAATGAAAGAATCAAATTGGCGCAAATTAAAGATCGAAATTTTTTTTAAATTGGCGCAAATCTCGTACTCCCGTGTAACTTTACACTGGTAAATTTATATGACTAACGCTTAGAATTCTAACAATATGTGATTTTCAAAATTGAGTTTTCAGAAGGTTAGGCTGATAAACAATACTTTCTAGAAGTTTCGATATACTGGCAACATATGCATGTTGAGATTAACTTATATCTTTAAGATTCTCGTAAAATAATGGTGATCTTGCAATGAAGTTAAATTTTATCTATACTGCTTAATGACAAAATCTTTTAGTAAAAATAAAAATGATAAAAGTTCATTGTCGGCAATCTATACATACCTTGTCTTTGTTTTAATTCCCAAAATGAGCTACTTATAGATTCATAATATTTCATCCTGTTTTGAGAAATACTTTATAGTTTTCAATGGAAAATTATTTCGTATATTCTAAATCAATTTTTGCTTTAAAAACTTATTTGTAGTTTGTATTTACTGTCTCATTTATTCAAAACACGTGAGGTAGTAATAACGGGGATAGTATTTTATGATAGGTTAAATGGATGTAAAACGTTTTATAAAGGATCAAAAACTTTAATTCATATATTATACCTATAATTTTAATTTTCTTATATTTTAAATATTCAGAAATAATGAATCCACAAACTAGATGGAATAGTTTGTATACGTTCGTCTTAGTCGGGATACATAATGGTATAAAGAAGTCCGTCCGTGCTAATGTGTGTCCGTCTGTCAACAGTAGCGAAAGAGTGCGCTAGGGCAAATTCTGAAATTGACACGACAAAAAACCCCACACACCTAGTTTAATATAGTCAAATAGTCTGTAAGTTAACCAGTGTCAACTTTCATTTCTCTTTTTATTTTCAATGATTTTGCTAATGAGAGGGAGAGGACAAAAATAGACATTCCTTTCTAAAGCGTCGTAAAAGGTTATTTCGAACAATTTTTCATTCCGACGGATGGTGCTTCTGAAGGTTAATTTTGTGCGGCAACAACATCATGAGATCAGATACTGATACATACATGTGATCTCTTTTGTTAACGGATAATAAAGTAGGTTAATATAGTTGTTATTTTTGATTCTTGAAAATTTAGATGTGGGTTTCAAACGTCCAATTTGCAATTTTTTTCAAATAGTACGCTAGCAAGGAAAACTTGTACTATGACGTCAGATTCAATGTTCTGAAGAAAGACAACTCTTTTTTTCAAAACGAACGAGAAAAAAACATGAAAATTAATCATAACTTTTTTGAAAGGTCAGTGACATATACATTTTTTTGCATTATTTTGAAGAGTACACATGGCACTTTCCTTCTTGAAATTTTTATGAAAAAATCACTGGTAGATATTTTTTAATACTTGAAACGTTTTTCATTCTTGCGTTTTATTTTTGGCGGGAATGAAATAAATCATATATTTTAAGATCCAAACAATAAGAGTCTTAAACTCTTGAACCTGTGGTTGATAGACACAAATCTATTGTTTAACATGAAACAAGAATTATGCTTGTAGGTTTGATATAATGGGATTTTTTGAGAGTTTAAATAACAAGCAAATATCATGTTAATATTCGGGAAAACACGAAACTGAGGTTGCGATAGTGACAAAACTAAGTCGGTGACCCCCAATTTTTTTTTTCATATTTTGTTCCTCAAATCATGAAATACCTTCACATAAAATTTCAAGGAAAAATCACTGGTAGAACTGAATAGGCTGTTTGGTCTTTAAGCTCTGCTTCACTCCTCTATAAAGGATACCACAAATACAGTTAAGGTCTGTTTTTATAAAGGATACCACAGATACAGTTAAGGTCTGCTTCACTCCTCTATAAAGGATACCACAAATACAGTTAAGGTCTGCTTCACTTCTCTATAAAGGATACCACAGATACAGTTAAGGTCTGCTTCACTCCTCTATAAAGGATACCATAAATACAGTTAAGGTCTGCTTAACTTCTCTATAAAGGATACCACAAATACAGTTAAGGTCTGCTTCACATCTCTATAAAGGATACCACAAATACAGTTAAGGTCTGCTTCACTTCTCTATAAAGGATACCACAAATACAGTTAAGGTCTGCTTCACATCTCTATAAAGGATACCACAAATACAGTTAAGGTTTGCTTCACTCCTCTATAAAGGATACCACAGATACAGTAAAGGTCTGCTTCACTCCTCTATAAAGGATACCACAGATACAGTTAAGGTCTGCTTCACTTCTCTATAAAGGATACCACAAATACAGTTAAGGTCTGCTTCACATCTCTATAAAGGATACCACAAATACAGTTAAGGTTTGCTTCACTCCTCTATAAAGGATACCACAAATACAGTTAAGGTCTGCTTCACTCCTCTATAAAGGATACCACAAATACAGTTAAGGTCTGCTTCACTCCTCTATAAAGGATACCACAGATACAGTTAAGGTCTGCTTCACTCCTCTACAAAGGATACCACAGATACAGTTAAGGTCTGCTTCACATCTCTATAAAGGATACCACAAATACAGTTAAGGTCTGCTTCACTCCTCTATAAAGGATACCACAGATACAGTTAAGGTCTGCTTCACATCTCTATAAAGGATACCACAAATACAGTTAAGGTCTGCTTCACATCTCTATAAAGGATACCACAAATACAGTTAAGGTTTGCTTCACTCCTCTATAAAGGATACCACAGATACAGTTAATGTCTGCTTCACTCCTCTATAAAGGATACCACAAATACAGTTTAGGTCTGCTTCACTCCTCTATAAAGGATACCACAGATACAGTTAAGGTCTGCTTCACTCCTCTATAAAGGATACCACAGATACAGTAAAGGTCTGCTTCACTCCTCTATAAAGGATACCACAATTTCAGTTAAGGTCTGTTTTTATAAAGGATACCACAGATACAGTTAAGGTCTGCTTCACTCCTATAAAGGATACCACAGATACAGTTAAGGTCTGCTTCACTCCTCTATAAAGTATACCACAGATACAGTTAAGGTCTGTTTTTATAAAGGATACCACAAATACAGTTAAGGTCTGTTTTTATAAAGGATACCACAAATACAGTTAAGGTCTGCTTCACTCCTCTATAAAGGATACCACAAATACAGTTAAGGTCTGCTTCACTCCTCTATAAAGGATACCACAGATACAGTTAAGGTCTGTTTTTATAAAGGATACCACAAATACAGTTAAGGTCTGCTTCACTCCTCTATAAAGGATACCACAAATACAGTTAAGGTCTGCTTCACTCCTCTACAAAGGATACCACAGATACAGTTAATGTCTGCTTCACTCCTCTATAAAGGATACCACAGATACAGTTAAGGTCTGCTTCACTTCTCTATAAAGGATACCACAGATACAGTTAAGGTCTGTTTTTATAAAGGATACCACAAATACAGTTAAGGTCTGCTTCACATCTCTATAAAGGAGACCACAGATACAGTTAAGGTCTGCTTCACTCCTCTATAAAGGATACCACAGATACAGTTAAGGTCTGCTTCACTCCTCTATAAAGTATACCACAAATACAGTTAAGGTCTGCTTCACATCTCTATAAAGGATACCACAGATACAGTTAAGGTCTGCTTCACTCCTCTATAAAGGATACCACAAATACAGTTAAGGTCTGCTTTTCGCCTCTACTTACACCCAGCAATCATTGTTAAATTGAGATTTAAACTTGGCAAAAAAGAGAGAACTTTAATATTCATATTGTGAACTTTCCATATTTGTGTGAGAAAAACTCTTGCAGTATATGATTATTCCAGGCAACACTTTTCTTCACTACTTTTTAATTAGGTCTTTCCACTTTTCTGTGGAAAGACCTATTGTTTTTGTTTTTTTTTAACTTAAAAAATAGATAAGGTTTTTTTTGTCTTAACTATTTCATCATTTTATAAGTGTTCATAGTAATGTCTAGTCTGTCCAATAGATTTGAAAAAATGTATATTTCTGTTCCAGGCTGACTCACCAGATGTCAGAATTGAACTACATGGATAAAGGCTGAGGATCTGTATCCATAGCAACCAAGGATATATAAACATAAAATTGGTGACAAAAAATCAAAAGGCTATAGATAGTTCATTACACAATTAGTTTTCCATTTAAATGTACTTGGGAAATTAATTTTTGCATGTGCTTAAATTTCCATGATTAAAAACAAATTGTACTCATCATTGGAGAAGATTGTGATATTGTTGCATCAATGTATGGTAAGGATGGATAAATGTGAATTAAATATAAATATGGTATCCTTTGTGAGTTCACTCACAGTTCCAGCTTATATGGTTGTATACTTAAATAGAAAGTATTGAAATCATCAATGTCTGAGATGGTTAACTGGAATTAAATATGATGGTGTAGGATTTCCTTTAATATATAACAATATTTGACTTTTGTCTATATTCTGTGATAAGCCTTTGTATTTATATATGTACCGATGATGTAAATTAATTTCCTTGTTGATTGCTATCATGAAGAAAACTATTTTGTCTCAGATAAATAGATAATTTTTATGTTATTTTAAATGAATGACATATACACTGCTGATTCTGTGCATTTTTGTAGTATCCTCGATTTTATTTATTTATTGTCTGTAAATATTATTCATGGCACTTTGCACAGACAGCAAAATTACTACTTTTTCATAAACTGTTTTCTTAATAAAATAAGTAGTTTGCATATTCTAATGTGTGATGTGATGTGAGATGTGTGATGTGATGTGAGCAATTCCATCTTGATTGGAGTTCTGGATCAAGTAGAACATTTGACTTGTCTGGCAGTGTTTTGTCTTTGGCTCACAAAAAAATTATAAACAAGTGTGACATGTTTGCATGGTTATTATTTAGTTTTATTATATTATGTGTTTAAGTCTGTGTGTCTGTCTGTTAATCTGTCCCAAATTAGATTTGTTCTAAGATAGTTTACCATGAAATTAAAGTCACTTCAATATGAAAGTAAGTACACATGTTCATGATGATCTGAACTTTTTGAAATACAAGGAAATACCAAATTAGGGATTTTAAACAGATTTCACTGTTCACTGATCAGGTTTATATTTGACTAGGTTGGACTAAGTCAAAAACCAGCTAAAAGTATGATGATGTTAGGAGGTTAGGGAAAAGTGGGTACCTTATTTGTGAAATGAACTCCTTTTACAGTTATCAATCCAGATCCCTGAAACTTCACAGGAAGATTGCACATATTTTTGAAGTTGTCTACCTGCTATTATGGGATTGTTTGAGAAATTTTTCCATTTTTTTCCAACTTGGGAGTTTAGTCATTTTTCAGCAACATTTATGAAAGACTCTACCAGTTTTGTGTAATCAACTCCTCATATTATTTCAACCTAGATCTTTTGATACCTCACATAATGATTACACATAAATTGAAGTTGTGCACCTGCTATTATGAAATTATTTCCATATTTGATCCCATTTTTCCAGCATTTTTTTTTCAAAAGATGATATTAATTTTTTTTTTATCAAGATCTTTGGAACTTCACAGAGAGTTTTCAAACCTATTGAGGCTGTGCACCTTCCATTATGGAGTTGTTATAAGATTTTCCCCCGTTTTAACATTTTTCCCCATAGATTTAAATGTTTAGGAAAGAATATTCTCCATTGTTAATGAAACAAACTGTGGAACCCAGCCGTTAGAGTCTTTGATTCAATTTATAGATTTATGTAGTTTACCACAAGGTTGTGGTCATATCAACTTGCAACTTAGTACAAATGTTCCTTATGATGAAACAAATTGGGGTTTTTGTCCAGATTTCAGGGTTCACTACAATATTGTTTATATTGTTATCATTATAATATCAATTACTTAGATATTATGGTATACTTCAGTTTTATTGGTTTTTTTTCAAATGCTTTAGCTAACAAGTATATGCTTTGTGGATAAGGATTGGGGTTGAAGATTAATTGTACTTTTAATGATTTTCTCTTTAAGATGTCATGCCTGTTGCATGGGTCAAGTTTTTTTGACAAAAAAAAACAATATTTTAATAATAACTCAAACATATTCTTTAGTTGATGGATTTTCATAACACTTAAAGATGATTAGGAAAGGTAATCAGAGGATCTCCTTAGTTTTAGTTTGGATGATTTTCACTTTTTTTAGCTCACCGGGGCCCAAAGGGCCCCATGTGAGCTTATGCCATCACTTGGCGTCCGTCGTCATCCGTCGTCTGTCGTCGTCGTCTGTCATCATAAACTATTTCAAAAATCTTCTCCTCTGAAACTACTGGGCCAAATACCTTCAAACTTTAACTAAATGTTCCTTAGGGTATATAGTTTATAAATTTTATCTAAAGTTTTGATCCATCGACAAACATGGCCGCCATGGCTAAAAATAGAACATAGGGGTCAAATGCAGTTTTTGGCTTATATCTCAAAAACTAAAGCTTTTAGAGCAAATCTGACATGGGGTAATATTGTTCAATTTGTCAAGATCTATCAGCTCTGAAATTTTCAGACGAATCGAACAACCCATTGTTGGGTTGCTGCCACCGAATTGGTAGTTTTAACATAATTTTGCAGTTTTTGTTATTATTTTGAATATTTTTATAGATATATATAAACTGTAAGCAGCAATAATGTTCAGCAAAGTAAGATCTTCAAAAAATTAATATGACCATAATTGTCAATTGACCCCATTAAGGAGTTATTGCCCTTTAAAGACAATTTTACACAATTTGTTCATCAAGTTTGCTAACATTTAAAAATCTTCTCCTCTGAAATACAGGTGAGCGATTCAGGCTCTTGAGAGCCTCTTGTTCCTTCTAAATTTGCATGATTTAGTTAAACCAGAACAAAATAGATATAAGCATTTCTTGCACAAGCCTCGGTATGATTTGGAAAATTTCCTCTAACTTTCATAGATATAATAGCAGATTTATTCCTGTATTGCTATGAATCTCAGTTTATGACCAAACTCAGTAAAGACACGTCATTGTTACATTTGGTTGATACATTCAACAATACCTTCCGTTATCTAGATGATATTTTTTCGTTAAATAATCCAGAGTTCTCTAAATATACTACCGAAATTTACCCAATGGAACTTACTTTAACTAAATCTAACATAAACAGCAGTAGTTGTCCTTTTCTGGATTTGGACATTTCAATCTCTAAAGGAAAACTCCATACGAAAATTTACGACAAAAGAGACGATTTTTCATTCCCTATTGTTAATTTTCCTTTTTTAGACGGCGATGTTCCTTTGGCTCCATCATACGGTGTATATATATCCCAACTCGTTCGTTATGCCCGTGTGTGTAGTGATGTCATAGATTTTAACGAACGTAATCAATGCATCACTGGTAAATTATTAAATCAAGGATTTCGTTACCATAAATTACGTAAAACTTTTGCTAAGTTCTTTCATAGATACAAAGATTTGATTAGTAAATTTGGCTGTACTTGTAGAAAACTGATTAAAAACGGTATTTCACATCCTAAATTTTACGGTTATATTGTACTTAAAGCGCAGAAATCACTATGTGATCCGTGTAAACTCATCGAACCTTTAAACAGGCTCATTAGTAAAGGTTATCTTACCAATGTTTTAATTAGATCTTTGAATATAGTTTACATTGGCACTAATATTGATTATGTCATCAGCAAATTAAAACATAACTAAATTTGTATTTTTTTTTTAAGTGGGATGTATAAAGACACACCCACATTCGTTTAGATCTATAAAGAGGTTAAACTCCTAACTATCCTACTGTCTGTCGATACATTTTTTGGCATTGCACTAGTCATGTCTTCTTTGACTGTCCATGACGTTAAAATACTAAATCCCTGGGATGTGTTTTAGTTGATTTTAGTTTCTGATGCATGATTTTTTATTATTAATTGTTTTGGCTTTTAACTAGCTGTCAGTAACTGCGAGTACTATCAAATCGTACTTTCTTGTTTATTTGACCTGTTGATACTAATTGTATTGCTTTTTTGTTATTTAATGTTATTCAGGGTTATATCTGGTCTATATACCAGCTTTGATAAGTGTTTGGTATAACTATAAATTTTTACTTCGTACTATGAACATCAAAATTATTTATTTTGTAAAAGTATTTCCTTTCTCTATTGGTACTGTACAGGTATACCTAACAACAAAATTATTTTCATTTACCTGTGTTTAAAGTTATTGCAAATGGATGGTATTTTTGTTCGAGCATATTGTTTTTCTTTTATTGTTTAAAATTTCTTACCTATATAACGTGTTACTTTTATTATTCTTCCCTTAGTATATTTATTTTGTATTCTAAATTATTTATTTTGTAAAAATATTTCCTTTCTCTATTGGTACTGTACACGAATACCTAACAACAAAATTATTTTCATTTACCTGTGTTTAAAGTTATTGCAAATGGATGGTATTTTTGTTCGAGCATATTGTTTTTCTTTAATTGTTTAACATTTCTTACCCATATAATATGTTACTTTTATTATTCTTCCCTTAGTTTATTTATTTTGTATTTACATTGTGTCATAGGTCAAATTTATTTGTTCAGTGTATGTTCAATGGTGTTAATATGTCCTTTGATTGAGTTAAGCTATTTCAGAAAAAGGGTGAAGGTTTGGTACCATTAAAACGTTTAAACAAGCTGCATTTGTTTGCACCTGTCCTAAGTCAGGAATCTGATGTTCAGTAGTTGCCGTTTGTTGATGTGGTTCATAAGTGTTTCTCGTTTCTCGTTTTTTATATAGATTAGACCGTTGGTTTTCCCGTTTGAATGGTTTAACACTAGTAATTTTTTGGGGCCCTTTTTAGCTTACTGTTTGGTGCGAGCCAAGGCTCCTTGTTGAAGACCGTACTGTGACCTATAATGGTTTACTTTTATAAATTTTGACTTGGATGGAGAGTTGTCTCATTAGCACTCATACCACATCTTCTTATATCTATATAAGGAAATTTAATACAAGACACCCTATACTTTTTTGGTGAAGTTTTACCTTTGAAAGAATTGATGAAACTTGGTCCAACAAAAATGGGCTTGTTTTTACTGGCAATTCATGTATCATGTTTTCATGCTGTTACTATTTTACCACAAGCTCAAATGTTTGACAATTCATAGAAACTTTGATAATGCCTAATCATCACCCTAATGAGCATTGAATTTTTAGCCACATATTTTATCACCAATTTTTAAGAGTGTAATATGGAATGATTTTATATTTGATCTGGAACTTTATAATGATGAGTAGTATTGTGTAATTTATTTTTGGATCTGCCAGGCAGTCAATTCCTGTTTGGGTAGACTTTGAATTTTATGACACCTTCTGAGCATGGATCCAATTTTTCCTCACATATTTCTTAGATCCTTTATTAAGGAATAATTGGACATTTCGTTTTAAACTTTTTTATGATGAGTTGTACCATGTAAGCGATTTTCAGATCAGCAAGCAGTCACTTCCTTTTTGACGATACTTTCAATCTTTTATTCCCACTTAGCATGGATTTTTTTGTCAATGTCTTATTAGGAGATGAGGTATATTTTGCACAACATTGCATGCACCTCCTTGTATGTATAAGTTTGGTGTTAAATGAAATTGTGTGTTTTTTATATCTTTTATTACATCTTTAATGTTTTAAAAATATTATATGTTCACTTGCAAAATGTTTTTATAAAAAAAACCTTGACATGAAATAAAACAGAGTGACCTCAATATCTGCATGATTTATTTAACATGTCTATCAATATGTAGAATGTTGTTTGACAAAAGAACTTTCTGAATAGGTCATATAGTGGCATTTAATAACATGTTGTCAACAAAACTACCGGTAGACTTTAGTTTCTTTGTTGTTAATGATAAATTATGTTTATATATATTTCTCAATAAATTGTTATTATTTTTTTATTATAATTATAAATGGTGTTATTTTTTTTACCACAATTCAACAAAATGACCTCAAGTTATGTTTGATTTATTATGCCTTATAATATGTAGAATGTTTTTCTTTACATACAGCACACAGATACCTTACACCCTTTTATTTATATAGATTAAGGGAGCTACCATTTGATTTTTATGGGGGGGCTAGGATGAAATTTTTAAAAAAAAAGGCAGGACAGGAGTTTTGAGTATAAAAAAAAGGCAGGATGACAATTTATGTAAAAAAAGTCAGGATAAACTAATAAAAAAAAAGGCAGGACCGAATAGAGTGAAAAATATAAAGGCAGGACAGAGGTTACAGCTGAAAAAAAATGCAGGACAAAATTTTCATCCTAGCCGCCCCATAAAAATCAAATGGTAGCTCCCTAACTAGATTGTAACCTTCGGAATGAGATATAATGGTATATACTTTTTCTTTACATTTATGGTGTATTTATTCTTGAGATAACTTTTTTCTTGCAAGTACTACTTAATTTTCCCTTTTTCAAATACAGTAAAACCTGTTTTAAGAGACCACTAAAGGGAGAGCAAAAAAGGTCTCATTAGACAGGTGGTCTTTTAATACAGGTTCAATCTGTATGAAATGCACTACAAAGGGACCTAAAACAAATGGTCTTATGACACAGGTTTTTGCTTAATATTGGTGGTCTCGTAAGGAGATTTGACTGTAGTTTGCTTACCAGTATCCAAATTGGTATGCAGACAACTAGAATTACTTGTCCAATTCATACAGTATATCCTGCCAAGGAATGTTTTTCATATTTATCGTCCGTCTGTCATCCGTTGTCTGTAATCATTTCTTTAGAAATCTTCTTCTCTGAAACTGCTCAACGGATTGAAACCAAAGTTTGTCTGCCTCATTTATAGGATTTCAACATTAAAGTTTGTGATTTTCGTCCAAGTTGATCAACCAACAGGGCCTCAATGTCTAAAAATAGAACATAGCAGTCAAACTACAGTTTTGGCTCGTATCTCTAAAACTACAGCAATTAGAGAAAATCTGACAAGGTAAAAATGGTCAGCACAACAAGTTGTATCTTCCCTGAAAATAATGGAATAATCTGTCCTCCTGTTATGAAGTTATTGCCCCTGAAATGTTGATTTTCAACTTTATTGACATTCCCTTGTTGTTTCAAAAACTATTTGAGCTAGGATAAAAGTGCAAGTTCAAAAATGATCAGTATAATAAGATGTATTCACCTTGAAAATTGAAGAAAAATCTATCTCCTTGTTTTGGAGTTATTGCCCCTGAAATATTTTTTTTTCTCTAATTTTTTGCAGTTGTTTGCTGTTATGAAATTTTAGGAGCTAGGTTAAAAGTGTAAATTACAAAAAGGTTCAGCACAACAAGATAGATCTATCTACCCTGAAAATTGCAGATAACACTGTTGACCTGTTTTTGGAGTTATTGCCTCTGAAATATACATTTTTCCAACTTTTTTATGCCCCCACCGTAGCAGGGGGGGGGCATTAAGTTTTACCCTTGTCCGTCTGTACGTACATCCCAAAATTGGTTTCCGTTCTCTAACTTCAGTTTGCCTCAACCAAATGTTATGAAACTTATACACAATGCTTATTACTACAAAACACAGATATTGTTTGAATTTTGGTGGCGTCATTTTAACCGTTCTAGAGTTATGCCCCTTTATAAATGGAAAAATTGCAATATGTTTAGTTTCCGTTCTTTAACTTGAGTTTGCCTCAACCAAATGTTATGAAACTTATACACAATGCTAATTACCACAAAACACAGATCAAGTTTGAATTTTGGTGGCGTCACTTTAACCGTTCTAGAGTTACGCCCCTTTATAAATGGGAAAAATGCAAAATGTTTAGTTTCCGTTCTCTAGCTTAAATTTGCCTCAACCAAATGTTATGAAACTTATACACAATGCTAATTACCACAAAACACAGATCAAGTTTGAATTTTGGTGGCGTCACTTTAAATGTTCTAGAGTGATGCCCCTTTAAAAATGGAAAAATTGCAAAATTTTTATTTCCTTCTAAATATCAAGTAATTTTTAAAATTGGAGTTATCTACCTTTGTCCATGATTATAGTTGAATCAATCAATGCTTTATACAATGAAATGTTTAATTTTGACTTCCACTGATAAAACACAGATCAAGTTGAATTTGGGTAGTGTCACTTTAACCATTATTGAGTTATGCCCCTTTATAAATCGAAAGATTGCAAAATTTTTAGTTTCCATTCTGTAACTTAACTTTGCCCCAACCAAACATTATGAAACCTATGCACAATATTCATTACCATAAAACTAAGATCATGTACAAATTTTCTGTTTCAGTTTTCTAACTTTAGTTTGCCTCAACCAAATGTTCTGAAACTTATACACAATGCTTATTACTACATAATACAGATTAAGTACGAAATTTGGTGAGAACACTTTTGCCATTCTTGAGTTATGTTCCTTTATAAACATAAAAATTGCTGAATTTTTCGTTTCCGTTCTCTAACTTTAGTTTGTCTAAACCAAATGTTATAAAACTTATACACAACCGTTCTAGAGTTATGCGTGTTTACAATAAGAAAAATTGCTGAAATTTTAGTTTCTGTTCTCTACTTAAGTTAGCCTCAACCAAATGTTATAAGATATACACACAATGCTTATTACCACAAAACTCAGATCAAGTTCAAATTTGGGTAGTGTCACTTTTATCGTTCTTCAGTTATGTCCCTTTATAACTATATGCTATGCAAGCAGGGGCATCATCTGTGTCCACATGTGGACACTATCCACATTTATTTTTTGTATTTCTTTGCTGTTGAAAACTATTGGAGCTAAGTTAAAAGTGTAAACTGCAATAACAATCAGCATGACATGATCTATCTACTCTGATATTTGTAACCACCCATTTAGGAGTTATTGCTCCTGAAATGTTGTTTTTTAGCTTTTCTCATCACTTTCTGTCCATTGTCTTCCCTTAATGCCTACAAAAATCTCCTCAGAAACTACTAAGCCAATTGTAAGCAAACTTGTCCAAAATTATAATTGGGGTATATAATTTCAAAAATGTGTTCAATGATCTCGCCTGGATGAAATGGCTAACAATAGAACAAAGAGGTAAAATGAAAGTTTTGTCTGTTATTTTGAAAACTGCTATAGATAAAGAAAATCTGACAGGGGCAGAAATGTGCCAAAAAATGAGAACTTATTGGTGTCTATAAATATCAAAACTGTTGGAGTTATTGCCCTTAAATGGCCTGATTTTACCTTTTTTTCAGTTTTGCCTATCTTGAAAAGCATAATAGTTAGAGAGAAACGTTAAATAGCAAAAATGAAAATGAAAAAAAAAAAAAAAGATCTACAAATAAGTAAACTTGCTGAAACAACAGTTGATGCTTATTGAAGTTATTGCCCTTCAGTGATTATTTTTACCAATTTTTTGCATTTTTGCCTGATATCTTGAAAAGTATAATAATTAGACGGAAACTTTGATTAGCAAATAATATCTACAAGTAAGTCACATGGCTGAAATTTCAGTTGACTCTTTATAAGAGTTATTGCCCTTTAAAGACGACTTTTTAATCATTTTGTCTCGCCTGCGACAAAAGTTGCAGAATTTCGTCACGGAAAGCGAAAGATAGGGATTGCTTTTCCAGGGATGGCGTCAACAATTGTTAAGTTTTCTGCTTAATTCAGTTTGATAGGATCTACTTGTGATAGATCAATGATATTTTGTATGAAGTCGCATTCCTATCAGTTTGAAGACTATTTTGAGGCCCTGCCCCCTAGGACATTGTCCAGCGACTGAATTAATTAGCAATTTTCAATGTTAAGTTTTTTGCTTAAGTTAGTTTGATAGGATCTACTTGTGATAGATCAATGATATTTTGTATGAAGCTGCATTACTATCAGTTCATATCAGTTTGATGACTATTTTGAGGCCCTACCCCCTAGGTCATGGTCCATTGACTTTGAATTAATTAGCAATTTTCAATGTTAAGTTTTTTGCTTAAGTTAGTTTGATAGGATCTACTTGTGATAGATCAATGATATTTTGTATGAAGCTGCATTATTTTCAGTTCATATCAGTTTGATGACTATTTTGAGGCCCTGTCCCGTAGGTCATGGTCCAGTGACTTTGAATTAATTAGCAATTTTCAATGTTAAGTTTTTCTGCTTAAGTCAGTTTGATAAGAACTACTTGTGATAGGTCACTGATATTTTTTATTAAGTTGCATTACTATCAGTATATATCAGTTTGATGACTATTTTGAGGCCCTGCCCCCTAGGGCATGGTACAGTGACTTTGAATTAATTAGCAATTTTCAATGTAAAGTTTTTATGCTTAAGTTATATTGATAGGAACTACTTATAATAAACAACAATATTTTCTACAAAGTTACATTACTGTCTGTACATCTCAGTTTGTCGACCATTTTCAGGCCCTGCCCACTAGATCATGGTCCAATGACTGAATTAATAAGCAATGTTGCTGTCCATTAGATTGTCTTTTTATGAATTTTATGCCGATAGTCGACATATCTCTGTGTCAACAGTTTCTTTTATGTTATTGCCTATTTTTTGCCCCTGCAACTGAAAGTTGGGGGCATATTGTTTTGCCCCTGTCCGTCTTTCCGTCTTTCCGTCCGTCAGTCAGTCAGTCTGTCCCATTATGGGTATATAGTTATTCAAGATAACTCCTCCTACAGTTTGAATGCTAGGTATAGCTAGGAATTTTTCACTTTGCTGGCTGTTTGTGCATATATTGAAGGTGTGTCAGTTAAAATGTTCCGCAAGGCAAGATCTACAAATAGGTCAACATAGCCGAAATTGTCAATTGACTCCTTACAAGAGTTATTGCCATTAAATGGCGATTTTTACCATTATTTTATTTTAGGCAAAAAATTTAGATGATATAGGGAAACTGTAAAAAGTGAAAATGATCAGCAAGCCACGATCAACAAAAATGAGAAATTAGTCCTGAATTATATTCTAGTTTAGAT